TCAATTCTTCATTTCATTCATAAAAATAAAAGTACCAGTCTTAAACAAACATATTAACAATCCAACACCTACATTTTCTTTCTTCCGCGTAGTACAGTACCAACAATCTCTACCCAAGTAAATACCCCCACACCACAGCAATAGTCCTACACACCACTCTCAACCCAATACGTACATTAATGCGTTTCATTCAACCGTTGCACAATGCCCTACTTTACGATGTGTGCACTCATTCAACAAACCATTTCTACCACATATTCGCAATTAAGTACTTTAACAGCTCAACCACGGTTCATTCTCAGCTTCGTACTCATCAATTTAATTCATCTGTCACGTGTCAACGCACAAAAAAGATAAGAATATCTTACTTATCAGAAAAAAGGAGTAAATTGAACAAAAAAGCAAATAAAAGTACGTACAGCAGTGGTAACGTACCATACACAGCCTCAAATACTTTACCTACCACTCTCAACGTGCACAGCACCATTCAACAAGCATATCTAACCGTTTGCTAGCATCAATCACGAAGTACCGCTCCTTGAGATGCTATTCTTTTCTGAGTTACACTCTTTTAAACACTAACTAAGTAATTACTGTTCATAAGTACGGCAGGTACTTTCATAAAAGGAAAGTTCCATAAAAGTACTACTCACAATTTTACATCCTAACATTTCATTATCACTCTCTCAACCAAGAACACGTTCGCTCTTCTTATCATTTCATTTATTCTATCACATCGGTAAAACAACTCTAGCTGAGCTACCCTTCATAATGCCGTACATCAAAGGTTGCATGCCATCCAAATATTCGCTCCTTCTTATGCTGTTTGCATGTGCGCTAGTATCGTTGGTAATTACAGCGTGTGTGTTTATGCGTAGCAGAGATGTGATGAGTGTGGCTGTGAGTAATGGTGGGATACGTATGGGAGAATTTGTGGATGGTGATGCGGGAGAGTTTATCGATGATGGTAGGGTGAGTAGTGAGGGGACGGTAAGTGGTGAGGAGGTGCGTGATAGTAGGGTACATCCTACGGTAAAGGAAAGTAATGAGCATAGTGCTGCTGCGCAGGGGATGGTAAGTGGTGATTGTGTTGTTAGCGAGAATGATGCTCAAGTTGAGGAGTCTGTTGATGGGAATGATGCTCAATTTGAGGAGTCTGTTGATGGGAATGATGCTCAATTTGAGGAGACTGTTGATGGGAATGATGCTCAATTTGAGGAGTCTGTTGATGGGAATGATGCTCAATTTGAGGAGTCTGTTGATGGGAATGATGCTCAATTTGAGGAGACTGTTGACGGGAATGATGCTGACCAAGGAAATTGCTGCATCGATCGCAGTGGTAATGAACAAATACTTGAAAACGAAGAGGAAGTGCAACCGGAAAGTGCATCACCAAGCAAACTATCGCTACCGAACGGAAGAGAGTGCTCCGCTCCTGAACTACCAATTTGGGCTTGCGATGTGCGCTCTCGTGAATCAGCCCATCACTGTTCAGATGATGATCTTGACATCGAATTCTTTACACAGTTAAGCTTGTATATGATCAACCAGATCAACTCCATGAATAAAAGCATTGGTACAGGGAGTGACGTGCCTGTGGATATTGCGAAGAATGTTTTTGAACGTGTGAATGAGTTTAGAAAGCATTTGCAGTACCGTGTGGATGAATCTGCAGCACAAAGATCTGCTTACCAAGCCAGGATGTCGCTAATGCGTAGTTGAGTACGAAGTTAAAAGTGATTTAACCAGTAATACTTTGCTTCATGCATTGTAAGGTACTTCTTATGTGTAAGTCTTGATGTGAGGGCATACCACGTCTAATAAGTGGTATGTCTCTTACTTTTATTTTGCTTCACGAGCCCTCTTCGTGTCACTCCTAGTACGTAGTACCGTGCAAACCAGCTTAATTACGTGCCGTATTATTACCGTGTGGCATTCTTTTAGCTTAAATTACTATCTTTTACACAAACATTACGTGTAGTATTCTCCTTAACTAATGCTTACTGTTTCCAAATTATGCTCCTGTTCAAGCACACCCCCTAATAAGCTTAATCATACCATAAACGCATTATCTTTATGCTTAATCCTTAAATAGCATGCATTTGCTCATTAAACCAGCCCTAGCCATGATCAGTGCGTTACTCCCCATGAATATAGCATATTTCCTTCTTTCATTGCTCAGCGTATTGCCATCGTCTCCAATGTGACATGCAACGTATTGCTATTACCCCCATCCTATTCATCCCGTTTATCTTGCCAACTTTACTTGCCCATCCATCCTACCTTCCCACTCAACATCTCATCCATCCTACCTTCCCGCTCAACATCTCATCCATCCTACCTTCCCGCTCAACACCTCATACATCATCAAATACTCATACGTCTCTTTCTCTTCATCTTTCCAAAGAACTGCCTATACTCACCCCTATCTTTCATTTTCCCAATTTCTCTTTTACCACATTCGTACCCCACACTAATAATCTCACTATACTTATCAAAATCATCCGTTCTGTACGGTATCTTAGGCGTAATAAGCACAACATTACCATCCTGCACAATCTTCTTCTGTTTGTACGCCGATGATAAAAATGCTAATCTGTACTGTACCTCATTGTACGAGATGTACTTGCTGGATGTGAACATCTTATTGAGCAGTACGTATGTACCGGACAGCGCATCACCGTACGGTGTAAATTCATTGTCAGATACGCTGCCTACATCTACCGCTATTATACGGCTGCACTGCTCAAGCATTCTATCGACGGGCACGTTGTTTGTGTATCCGCCATCGAGCAGTAGCGCATCCTTGTCACACACGGGTGGTAGAATGGTTGCTATGCTCATGCTTGCACGTATGTACCGCCACATGAGACCGCTTACATGTTTTATTTCCTCGTATGTGCATAAATTTGTAGTTATGCAAAAGAATTGTATCCACGTGTCTTCGATGCGCCGTTTGTCAAAGATGGTGTACAATACGCGGTTGAACGAATGTCCGGTGAAGAACGAGCACAGTGGAAGGGTAAGATCCATAAAAACACGCCAACGCGAACTTATGCGCTTGCAGAAGTGGGCAACACGCGAAAACACGATAAAGTTGTCCATGCTGATCGAGTACAAACCGGCAATGAATGCACCCATCGATGTACCGCCCACCATGTCAATTGGCACGTTGTACTCGAGAAGGGCCTCGATTATGCCTACGTGCGCAAGGCCCCGCGCACCACCCCCGCCCAGCACCAAACCAACACACTCGTCACGTATGTACCTGCAGAGTCGCTCGTAGTCCTTCATGCAGAATGTGCTCTTATCGCTCGGACTGTATATCTTGTGACCCTTTCTGCCATTACCCATTGATACCCCTGAACTGCTACGCTCTTCGTAAAGTACCACGTCTTCCACCTCAAAGTCAAAAGTAGCATTTTCCAAATTCACCGCCAAGATTAAATCGCCATAATTCACCAAGAAACTCATCAACCTGCTGAAGTAGTTTTCTACGTATATCAAGACAATCTCCACATCCTTGATCAGTTCAAGGAATCGTAGCTCGCCCATTTTGCTAAAATTGCAGTGTCTTATTGCTAAGAACCTTTTAGCGTTCTTTTTGCTGCTGTGTTTTGGTGTCCGCACCTGTAGCGATGTGCATACCGTGGTGTGCTTGGTATTACCTTGCCCGTTGCACCGTGTATCCGTATGGAACGGTTTAAGATAATTAATACTGGCAGTACAGCTCTCCTCTACATTTTCCATATTTATATTTTCAGTGTATTCTGCAGTTATCTTTTCTTCCTCATCATTTTTTTCATTAATTTCTTCATTGACAGCGCGCCTCCTTTTTATAGTACTGTTAGCACTCACTGTTTTCTGCTCGCCTTTTCTATCCCCATCTTTATCATCATATACATTACCGCCATACTCATCATCAGCTTCGTTACCTTCCTTAACCATCATCTCCTTCTCCAAACACCCAAAGAACCTCAAACTCTCTTCTCTCTCCCTTCCAATCACCACCACAACCTTTCTCCTCTCATTCTCAGCTCCCATTCTTTTAATAAATCTTCGCCCGTAGCACTTCTTCACCAGGTTTCTAAACATCCTTCTTTTCATTACCAGCACGTAACTCCTCTTTACAAATCTTACAGTACTCGTCTTATACTCCATCAGCTCGTGTGTATTCAGACAGCCCTTGGTGTAGTACGCACCATTGCAATGTACACGACCACAATCAAGGAATACAAGATCTTTAAATTTTTTGGTGCACCTGCCATGTACCTGCCAATCTATGCATGCACATATCGCACGCATCGTGTATGTCATACGCATGAATGCAAGCAAATCATCGTGTGAGAATGTGTCCATGTTTATACGTCTGTATGTTACGGTGCCACACGCTTTTAAGGTGCATTGCATGTTTCTCAAGAAGTGATTTACCATGCCATACACACCCCTACGTACGATTATGCAAGAATTTCCTGCACGTACCTCAACCTGTCCGTGTACCACCCATATCACGCCCTCTCGTATAAACTCGTTCCTCACGGTGCTCTCTTCGTACGTGAACTCCTTAGTGATCCTGGCACGTGCTATCACGTCCTGCTTCATGAGCAAGCGTTTTAATTTGAAATGTTTTGTGCATAAATGCATAATCTTTTTTAAGTACAAAAACACAGCATACGAATTAAAACGTTCGTTGCTAACGAGTACTTTTAGTTCGGTCTTAGCGATAAGCCTTACACCTGTTGTAACATGATGATCAGTCTGTTCTACTTTCTTTCTATTCCTGCTTGACCGGTCCTTTGTCCATAGTTTTTTTTTATGTTCTTTCAAGATGTTCCTTCCACACTGCATGGTATCATCTCCTCTGTTCTTATTGTACCACCTCCCCTTCAGTTCGTCTGTCTCCTTCTCATCAACCCTTTCTTCACCGTTAATAATCTTTATCTTTCCTATCTTCACATCAACTTCTTCTCCCTCATTATCAACTCCTTCTCCCTCATTATCAACTCCTTCTCCCTCATTATCAACTTTTTTTCCCTCATTATCAACTCCTTCTTCCTCATTATCAACTCCTTCTTCCTCATTATGACCAATCCGTCGTATCATCTCATCTAACCCGATCGTAAACTCACCCCCACTCTTCGTTCCATAGCACCTTCCTCTAATCTCCAAACAAACCTTTCCTTCCAATATGACTCCAACAACATTCACCAATTCTCCCTTTTTATATTCAACAATCCTTGGCTCGCTTCTATTCACGCACAGCAGTGCAAATAACGTATTATCATCTTCAATACTAAGCCTAACGTACTCTTTCTTTTGTATATGGGCATGTGTCTTTGTGTTGTACTTCTTACGGAAGTACAAGAAGTAGGAAAGTATAGTAAGGACCAATAAAAAGATGCAGTGGTAGAACATCGTAGGGGTATCGAAATTTCAAATTAAGGAGGTGTGCACGAGGTGATAGATTAGCAAGACATGATGAACTGCAGTTATTGTGGCATCTGTACCGTTGATAGTTATTGCGGTATTCTATTGATGCTTGTATCGCTGTGGTGTGAAAAGTAGCACTGCATATTCTGATATTGGTAACTATTACGATACTGGTACTGGACATCCCGGTATTGTTGGTAACCGTAACAGCAAACAAAGTACCTATTATTGAGCAACGTTGTGAATATTTCTGGTACAACAGTACCACTTCATATCTCACTACTGCTCATTCATGCATTACTACCTGTCATGCACATCATATCTTATTATGCATTATTTCCATTAATGGTTACCGCAAAGCATTTCTTCTACCCTTCATACACAGCAACACATAGGATCTGTGCTTTCAATCTTAATCACGAGTATCAAATAATCATCATTGCAATGCCTTCATACAATTCTTCATCTAGCACGATCGCTCTGCAATTTTTATTTTCACAATTGCTCTTCTCTATTTATATCTTTAGTATTCTTATTTATTTATGCGCTGCATAAACGTTTCTAATCTTATTTGTTTATGCATCAGCTGTTGTTGAGCCGTAACTGCACTAATTCCTTGCCCTTAATTTTTTTTCACACTTTTTCCCGTCTAAGGTCCTTAACACTATATTTATTCCCTTTTTCACCTTTCTTAGCTACCCCATCAGTACGTACACTTCATTCTCATTGCTATCAGTACCTACACTTCACTCTCACTATTACCAGTACCCCACCCCTGCCCCCATAACTAAACCACCATTTCACCAACCCCTACCACAAAATGTCATCCCAAAACCTCCAGGTACACATAAAAATACGTTCATCCCCAACCCCATACCTCCTATCATCACCACCCACCATAACAATCAACGCCTATAAATTCACGTTCACCCACATCCACACCGATCCCGACATATCGGCACATCTTCAACCAACCGTCAATGCATTCCTGAACGGCTATAACACCAGCATAGTATGCTACGGTCAGACCGGTTCTGGCAAGACGTACACCATGGGCCTAACGGCCGATCAGATTGATGCGTGCACGGGCATTGTGCCCGTGAGCATGTGCACGGTGGTTGGGAAGGAGTGTGTGAGGATGGCTATGTTCGAAATTTATAATGAGGAGGTGTATGACCTACTTAATGGGCGTGAACGCATTATTTTGAGGAATAACCGATCTGAGCTCGTTATTAATGCGCATGAACGGGAAGTGCGCACGTATGAGCAGTTTAGGAGCGTTGTTACAGATGCGATTGCACTTCGCATTACGAAGTGTACGAGAATGAATGCAGGGAGCAGCCGATCGCATGCTGTGATACGCGTGTGCACTGACAGGGCATCGCTCGTGTTTGTTGACCTGGCGGGATCCGAACGTACAAAACGCACGGGCGTGAGCAATGACACGATGAAAGAGGCGATCAGCATTAACACAGGACTGCTTGCCCTCGGCAACGTGATCAATGCGCTGTACAACAAAAAGAAGTTCGTGCCGTACCGCGACAGCAAGCTCACACGCATTCTCAAGCCGATCCTGAACGACAACACGATCGTGCGTATGATCGCATGCGTGAGTGACAGCTACCAGGATGCGAACGAAACGATGAACACGCTTGAGTACGCGAATAGGGCAGGCTGTCTGAGAACGGTGGTGAAGAGGGAGCCCGTGGTTGGGAGGGAGCAAGGCGAAGTTATACGGCTGAGAGAGGAAATAGGCCGGCTGAGGAGAGAAAATGAGTGGTTGAGGAAGGAGCTTAAGGACAAAACTGGGAGGGGAATATGCAGATGTTACGAGAAGGAGCGTAGCACGGACGGTAAGACCAAGCGTGAAGAACAATCAACCGCATGCACTAAGGCCAGCAGCGCAGAGGTGGCATGCAGTAACAAGGAAGAGAGTGCCACCGATACGATGAGCAGTACTAGCGCATTAAACGATAGAAGCGTTAAGACAGGCATCAATGCGGATGTATCGGTGAGCACACGCCACAGCCCGATCGGACAAGGGGATGAGAATTTGAAAAACGGAGCGATTGGTGGCAGAAATGATACGCTCCTCCTTACCGATACGTGCATGTACCCCATGGCCAGCACACCGATAAGAAATAAGGTAACAAACACCGTTCTTACACCCGTAAGAAGAAACGAAGATGCAAAAAACGTACATACACCTACGCCCATACGAAAGATAAACTTTGATCTGAGCAAGAACTTAACACTAGACGTGGGGCAGAGGAAGGTGCGTAGGATCATTAGTCATGGTGGTAAGTCGTGCATTGGAGATGAATCTGTTGATGTAATGGATGGAACGATACCTGTCAGACCGATAGCTACGGAGGATGTGGTACATGGCAAATCATTCTCTAGCGAGGCATTTGCTGATAGACCGTTCCCCAGCAAACCAGAAGCACCCGCTGTGTCAATCCCAGTCAAGCCTGTCCTCAACAAACCGCATCCTCACGGATTAATCACCGATAAACCCCCATGTAACAAAATCACTGCTAAGAGAACACGCCAATGTATCAGTACCACGGCCACAGAGCGTACACGTATTACACCGCTAAATGCGAAAAGAGTGCGAGCACTCAACGGTCTAAGACGTATACGCGAGCTGGCAGTGCATTCCTCAACAGTACTCTCAATCACGTACCTTAACGACGGGCTGTACACGATAAGCTCAGATAACACGCTCAGACGCACCGTGGCAGGCAGGACGGTCACTCTCAAACGATGCCTTTTTCTTTCGCTTCTTGCCCGTAATGAACACTCTGAGGTGCTGTACAGCACCAACGATGGGCTGTACTTCGTTGATGGCCCGCTTATCAGGCGGTACGATACGGGCATTACCAGTATGTGCTACCAGGGCACGTACGTGGTAACGGGCCACATCAATGGACAGGTGTGTGTATGCGATGTGAGGATGGGTGTGCTGTACGAGGGAGTATGGCACAAGGGGTATGTAAATGCGGTGAGGATGCATGATGGCGTGATCTATACGGGCAGTGTTGATAGCACGGTGTGTTACGCTGAGATGGTGCACGGTGCTGTGGACGATATAAGGGCCCAGTGCCTATTGCCTGCGCATAACAGCCCTGTTAATCTCATTCTCATGCATGAGGGATTCCTGTTCAGTGCCTCAAAGGAGGGGAACATCAGAAAATGGAAGAACCACCAGCTGATCAAGGAGTGCAAGGGTACACACTCCTCTTTTATACGGGCAGGAGCGTCAAACGCGGAGTATCTTTACACAGGCTGTAAGGACGGTGTTGTGAAGAGGTGGAGTGCTGAGATGGAGGAGCGCGGCAATGAAAGAGTGCCGTGCAGTGTGGTGTGCATGGATGGTACCGGTGATGGTGTGGTGGTTGGTGGGAGTGATGGGAAGGTGTATTTTCTCGGTGAATGACTGTTTATGCACGGGTTGAACGTATTTATACCAATGATGCATGAACAGTTTGTGCATGTTGATCTCGTACCTTTACCGTGTTATACAGACGAGCCCTCCAAATTATCATACCAATGCACGAAGCCGTGCATCTTTTCTGAACGCTTTTTGTCCGTGCTCATGCTTTGTTTCCTTACTTCTATCAAGCAAGCTTATTTGTTCATGCCATACACCTGGTGCTACAGATGTACTTCTCGGCATGCTATGCTTGACTGTGTTTACCGATTCCTGGACGAGGTGCTCTTCCCTGGCAAATCTGTATTTAATCACCGAGTGCACACGTTCAATCGATAAGCGCGTCATTTAAAATAGATCAAATAAACTGATTTAAACGTATTTCATGCGTGCATAAAGAAATATAAGTCGTACCTAACGATTTGAGAGACTAAAATCTAAATTGTTGTTCTGGGCGTAGTATTTTGATTTGTTTGCATTGGCACAGCTTACTCTAAGGAACTTGGATGCAGGATTTTCATGCAGCGTACCTCTATCGGTTCGAGCTGGTACTGTGCATTTTTACAGTTTAATTAATTTGCGGGTAATTGAAGATCCTTGGACAGTGCCTGCAACGAAGAGTATAATATAGTACTCATGTCATACATATGAGTACTTGCACCACCGCATCTTCTATCAATGAATGTATTGCTGTAAAATAATACTCCTTCTGTTCAATCATTGCGTTCATCACAAAATACCTAACCGGTTCACGAACTGCAGGCACGTACAAAACCTGTCACTGTTCATTTCTGTTATTTTTGCGGATGTCCATTGCACTGCAAGCATCCTCATGGCAGTTTATATCTTTGCGCTTGTGTACAAGGAATAATTTCGATTATTATCACGGTCTGATGCCAAATATTTATGCATAAATAGCACTTTAACATGTATGTACTTGAATATTATCGCTGATGCATGAACGAATAACTATTTTCCAGCTTAAATTAGGTTCTAGAACCCCGAATTGCATAAAACCTAAAGGTATTTAATAAAGTGCTCCCTGCTCACTGTTTCTTCCTTATCACACTTTCACTCCCCTTATCTTCAATTACATACCCCGCATCAACCATTTCGTCTCTCACAACATCACATGCATGAAACAGTTCCTGTGCACCCTTTTTCTCTTTGCACAACCTTCGTACCTCACTCCTGAAATTGCATATTATATTCGGAAGCATGCTCTCCTCCATCTCTTGCTTGGCCTCCAAACCAAGCATTGAAAGTATCTTCTTGATATAATCGAGTACCAGCTGGACAATCTGTCCTGAGCAGTTGTACATTTTCTGATGCATGATTGTTACTAGGTTGAGTATGGCGGTGAGGGTCTTGTATGTGTTGAAATTGTCACAGAATGACTCGTGTACCTCCTTCTTTGCTATTTCAAGCATCCTCAGCACCATCCTATCATTCTGATCCAAAGGCCCATACATTCTCTTGTTTATCACATAATACGGATCCTTCGCAGTATTGTTGACCTGGTCAGTCCTGTCGTTCGCATCTTCCTCAGTGCTCTCGTCCCTGTACACTACGTCATCATCGTCCGTAAGTGGTCTATTATCGTACTCTCCACCCTCACCGTTATCAATGACAATCTCGGTCTTGTGTGTCTGCTCCTGCTCAACACGTGTCACGCTTCTTTCCATATTAGTGCTGCGTTGAACACGGCCATCCACACCGCTCGTGTCAGTGGTATTGTGTGCACTATCAGCATTGCTCGTCTCAGCTTTATCTCCAGCGAACCGTTCCCTGCCCGCAATCTCAGCCTCAGCCATGCTCACAAAGTTGAACAGCTTCTTTTCGATCTTCTCTGCGTACTCCATTGCCTCGTACCGATACGTAACCGTGCTATCATAGCAGTTATTAAGAAACATCACTCTTATCTGTCGTGCTGTAAATTTCTTGAGGCAGTCCTGGATGGTGATAAAATTCTTGAGGCTCTTGCTCATCTTCAACCCCTCGATGTGCAGATGACCGGTGTGCATGAAATAGTTGACGTACTGTCTGTCGGTAAGTGCACGCGACTGTATCAGCTCATTCTCATGGTGGGGGAACTGCAGGTCTATGCCACCCGCATGTATGTCCATCGTTAGTCCAAGCACGTCCATGCCCATTGCCGAGCACTCGATGTGCCAGCCGGGCCGGCCGTTAGACCAGGGCGATTTAAAATAGTACAGATCACCCTCCTTGCACCGCTTCCACAGCGCAAAGTCGGTTCGATGTCTTTTCTCGCTGCCCTCTTCCGCCTCGTTTATCACAGCATCATCATCGCGGAAGTGCCTTTGTCCGCCCTCCTCCACAAATTTAACCATGTCAAAGTATACGCTGCCATTCGAAACATACGCTCGGCCCTTCTCAACCAATTTCTCTACAAATTGTATGATTTCGCCCATATAATCGGTAACCTTCGTAACAAAGGAAGGCATCTTTACATTCAACCGTCTCATATCCTCAAAAAACTCCTCTTCGTATTTCCTCGTCACAAACTCAACACACTCCACAAATGCATTCCTCTTCTGCTCCTGCCCCAGGCTGTCCGCATTCACGTACTTTACGTTGCTCTTCAGGAACTCGCTAAAGATAGCCTCAGCCTTCTTAACAATCTTATCGTCAATGTTTGTTATGTTCATAACAAAGGTAACATCGTAGTGGAAGTGCTCCTCAAGGATGCGTCGTATCACGTCAAAGCAGATGTACGTGCGAGCATGACCGAGATGTGCGCTGTCGTACACTGTGGGCCCACAAATGTACATTTTTATCTGTGACGGGGTAATCGGTGTGAACGGCTCTACCGTGTTGGTGAGCGTGTTCTTTATGTGCAACGATTGTTTTGCCGTGTTTGCGCTTTCTGTCATGAGGGGTACAAAAGTAAAGGAATTAGAGAATGTGGTGGAGACGGCCGGTACAGGTAATGGCAGGGCTGTTTTACTGTCCGTTTAGAGGTATTATGGTTTGTATAGATATTTTAGATTAATAGGGAATATGTAGAATGGTTCAGAGCGCGTGAATGAAGGAATAATTCCTTATTAATCGATAATTGGTGCATTTGTTCCGCTGCCGATGAGTGCGTATGTTATGGTAATACAAGTTATTATAGACGTATTCCTTGTATTGACCTATCATTCCCGTGAATCAGTGTTTATTCTTCGGTTCCTGAGTGTTTACAGAATTACGCTTCTTCCTTTAATATGACTGTTTAAGGAAATATTCGCTTAAAAGAAAATAACGAACAAAATGGAAAGCATTTATTATTTGCACATGATACGAATCGTTAAATCGTAACATGGCACGTAAATATGTTTTTCATGTTCATCTGCGTTGTACTTTAGTGCCCCATGATGAAAAGCACCATGTGTTGGACTCAACATAAGCATAGCATAGAAGGACACTACCAATAAAAATTTAATGGCTGGCTCGAGGCAAGAGAAACAGAAATGTGCAAACCAAAGAAGTGATTTTAATGTACCTGGTTCACCCCATTCAGAAGTTTTGTGCAGGAAAATGATGACTTGAAAAACAAAAGTTGATAAGGGCATAACAAACATACAGCGTGCCAGGTAAGTTCATTGGTAGAGGTGTAAGGCGTGCTGATGAGCAATAACACGGTACAAAGAGAAAAAGAGTGGTAATGACGGTATCACCCTGCATTGATACAAGGTAGCATAGAAACACCGTGGTAGACTGGTCCAGAGTTACAAAGCACCAACTATGCATTTCATTTACAAGTTCATGATGAATTGGCGCATAATTCGTTAGAATTGTAGGTGTGGCCTGTTTTACTTTCCTTCAGCAAGAAGGAAAACACTGCATTTTACTACGAAGAATGTTTGAGATGGTACGCAGTGACAGTACCAGGTACCGCGAGAACTACGCTTCTTAAAAAGCATGCTGGTGCATGATCGCTTCATAGCGAAGAGACCGTTCAGCAGATCTACACCAATTGGTATAACCTGTCCATTCGTACGACTCTTAACCGCATGCTCATGTACGATGCGTTACGCCTGCTTTGTTAGCCCTCCTTGCTACTCGGCTCATTCCGCACCTGCCCTTAATCTCTTGTGCAGATAGCATATCGATCGATAGGGAATGACAGCTTTGCTGCAGGCTGCTTTATTTCGGCTTCCATATGCGTTCAATATCAATTCAGATCTGATACGCTCTTTCTAAAGCAGATATTCCGGTCAAATACGCGAACAGGTTGGTGATCGAACGGCAGAAGTGCGCCGCAAGCTGAACAAACAAACATTACCGTGCTAGAACAATGTGTTACATTTATTTATACTCCTAATACGAACCTTCCTTCACACCGCTCCTCAGCTTCTCTCTTATGGCATCGACATCGCTGCTTCTGCTCTCAGCACTGATAATCTCATAGAACACCAAATCCTCCTCTTTCAGCAGCGCTAAACACACCTTGTACATATCCTGTCCACGTCCAAAATAGTTAAAAACATTTATCCGGTCATCAAGATGCACAACCAGCAGCCTCTCCAAATAGTAAAGCATTTCGCTATCGCTTAAATTTATAACCTGACAGATGTTGACCATGATCTGCGCAGTATCGGGGATGTTCACGTTGTACTCCAGCGCCTCCAGTATTTCCTTCTCCGTGTGGCTGGGCGGAAGGCTGAACACGCACGGCAGGTTGTGTATTTTGCACGCGAGGGACACTATCGATAGCGGATCGGATGGCGAGTGGTTGTTTATTGCCAATGACGTTAGTAGGGGTGAAAGCGGAACGTTGCGCTCCTTCGCTATTTTAACTATTTCGATCGACATCGGGGATGGCAATGGTGCTCATATTTATAAAAAATTGTAAACATTGAAAAAGGAAATGAAAATCGGATGGTTGAAGTACCGCGGTTAAATGCGGTTAAGGAGATGCACAGTTGGTAATGGCGGAGTGTTCATGAAATGGAGAGTAAAATTTTATATCTCAGTCTCTACGGACGAGCTGTTCCATCAGGTGGACGTGGTACGAACTGCAACACTTTTTTGGACAGGTTCTCCTCACTTTTTCATTAATGCGATTTGTAGCTGCGGCACAACGTGATACGGCAATATGCTTCAGCAGGAATGTCAAGTAAATTGTGTTGACCAGTACAGGCAGCTAAGTACACGGCTAGTGGATAAGAAAGTCTGAAATAATCGCAACTCGTACACACATGCGACAACGAGCGGTACGCAAAGTAATGAAATGTTGTGTTTGGCACGATTCGGTCAAGCAAATATTTTGGGTTAAAAAATAATTGGCGCACTACGGCAATGGACCACACCAAAAAGATTAAAGCGCTGAACTGCCATTCAAAACAATAATTCCACATAAATGGTACATTTATGAGCATCACCCCGTTCTGCATCCGATATAGACCGTTAAATCGCACTCGTAGCTCAAAGTAAACTGTTCGTGCGAAGCGGCACTACTAAAAGATCATAAATGCAAAAAGGGTGAGCGCGTGTTAAGGCACTGTTTGAGATGGACTTGAAACGAAAGAGGAACGGCTTTAACAAAGGTGAATAAGAATACGAGTCTATCATTCCTAACAATTTGTTGAAGAATGTTTAATTGTTGGCATATTTAAGCACATCAAATTGCATTCCTGCTTATTGCCGGCATCTTTCATGGTAGCAGTTTATCGATCCAACGTTGCTGTTATTTGTAGTTTTACCGGAGAAAACGCATTTGGGATAAAAAAACATGCAAATCAATGAAAATTGATTTGATTAGTAAATAGCACAAATTGAACCAGCACCAAACGAAATATCGCTGCTCAGCATATTTTTACGAAAATTTAATTATCAAAACGGGTTAATGAGAATTAGTGACTCAGCTCACAGACATTAATTTACGTTGACCAAGCAATTACACTAAAAAGGTAAACTTCTGCCCAATTTCAAACGTGTAATACTTCAACATGGGCCGTACCTCTAATTACCTGTATTGATTGATCCCAAATAAACTTCTTATGCCCTTCATACGGCCTTCTTTCCCTTTGCTCTCCTTTACCTTCGTTTTATCATCCGCTTCTTGTGCATCTTTTGCTTTACTCTTCTGCTTCTCACTTCTTTCTAACCATTCTTCGTTCATTTTCAGCATCTTATCTCTTGATTTGATCCTTTCATCTTCTCGTTCCAACCTTTCCTTTTCTATTTTCAATCGCTCCTCTTCTCTTTTCACTCCCTCTTCCATTCTTGCCAACCACGCCTGGTATTGTTCATCATCCCTTTCTTCCATTTGAGCCTGTTCCTTTGCAACACCTGTCTCTGTTAGTTTTTGCTTTGTTTCTTCCGCTAACTCTTCCCCAGTATTTTTTTCAAGTACTTCCTGTTGTGCACAGCACATTATTTCCAACCTGCGTTTCAACTCTTGTTCCTCTTTAGCCAGCTCAGTTAATCGTTTTGTCAGCTTTTGCTCTTCCATTCCCAGCCTTTCCTCAAACTCAGTCCTCAGGTCATGCTCCTCCTGCTTGAGCGCTTGTTCCATTTGAATCCTCAGAATTTCAATCTCCAACTCTAACTCGTCCTCCATTTTTATTTTAAATTTTTCTTTTTCCAATTCATACCACTTCGCTGCTACATCTCTCATCCGCGCCATATCACTTTTCATCAACACCGCTCTGCCCCTATCAAATTGTGTCTCCTGTGCACGTGATGGACAGTTCGTTCCTCCTAACGTACCTTCACCCATCAATTCACCCCTGTTCATTCCTGTCATTTCCATTATCTCAGCTTTTATCTTTTCGCGCAAGTTCTTGTTCTCATCCACAATTCTTTCCGTTTCCTCTCTCAGCTCTGTCCTCAGTTTTTCTTCCTCCATCTTTAACCTCTTCATCATATTTTGCGTTTCTTCTTCCTCTATTTTCAATATTTTCTCAATCATTTCATTTTCCATCCTTATGTGAGATTTCTGCATTTCTTCTTCCCTTCTCTTTAATCGCATTGAAACCTCCCCCCACAAATTCTTTTCTTCTATCAACAGCCTTTCCTTCATGTTTTCTCCCGTCAATCCTTCCAGTTGTGCCTGTAACGCGCTCTGTTCATCGCTGTCCAGCAGTGTCTTCCGTTCCATCTCACATTTTAACCGATCCATCATCTGCTCTCGCAACCTTTGCTCCTCATGTTTGATTTTTTCTTCCATTTCTTTCATTAACTCTTCGTTCCTTGTCCGTATCATCGTTTCCTCTTGCTTTCTTGCAGTTTTTTCCCTTAGCAATTCTTCTTCATCCTGGAATAGTCTTTCTGCTGCTTCTTCCTTCAATATTTGCTTTTCCCTGCACATTTCCTCCACTCTTTCTGCTGCTTCTTCCTTCAATATTTGCTCTTCCCTGCACATTTCCTTTATTCTTTCTGCTGCTTCTTCCTTCAATATTTGCTCTTCCCTGCACATTTCCTTTATTCTTTCTGCCATTTCCATCTTCAATCTTTGCTCTTCCCTGCACATTTCCTTTATTCTTTCTGCCATTTCCATCTTCAATCTTTGCTCTTCCCTGCACATTTCCTCCACTCTTTCTGCCATTTCTTCCAATTTTTGTTCACCAAGTCTTTTTCTCTGTTGTTCCTCTTCTGTTCTCTTCTTCTCCTCCAGCCTTTCTTTCTCTTCTTTTATTCCACCTTCTTCGATTTGAAGTTTTAACACTCTTTTATTCTCCAGTCTTCGTTCCATTTCTTTTCTTAGTTCTTGTTCTTCCACCGTTAGCCTCGCTCTCATTTCATGTCTTAATCTCTCTTCATCCTCGCTCCCCAATTTTTCTGCTCCATCATGCTTTCCTAAGCTTTCGTTCTTCAATTTCTCTTCCCACTCTGTTCTCAACTTTTGTTCCCACTTCGGTTTCAATTTTCTTTCCAGCTTCTTTCTTAATTTCTCCTCCCATTCCGGTTTCAATTCCTCCCACATCAACTTCATCTTCTCTATCCACTCCAACTTCAATCTGTCGTTTAACTCCTTTTTCAATTTCACTTCCAAGCCGAGCCTCTCCTCCTCTACCCGTCTCATCATTTCTTCTTTATCTCTCTTCATCGTTTCTTCCATCTCACTAATCATTTTCTTTCTTAACATTTCCACCTTCTTCCCAACCATTCGTTCCATTTCCTCCTTTGCTTTCTCCTGCTGCTCCTCCGCTGCTATTCTTTGCACCGTTTCATCCCTCAGTGTGTGCTCCTCTGTTTGTGATGCGGTCAATCCCTGTTTCTCCAACATTTTGATGGCGTGCTGTGTGTTGTGTACCGATTTATTCCGATCGTCTTTTATTTTTTGTGTCATTTGTTCTTTCAGGTCATCCTCTCTTGTTATCCAAGCGTCTCCATGCTTATCTTCCCCTTTCACCCCTTCACTCCCTTCAATCCCTTTCACCCCTTCACTCCCTTCACTCCCTTTCACCCCTTCAATCCCTTTCACCCCTTCACCCCTTTCACCCCTTCTCTCCCTTCACTCCCTTCAATCCCTTCTCTCCCACTCTTACTCTCCGATTCAATCACCCCATTATTCAAAAACTCTTCCCAATGCCCCACACCATCCTCCATTATCTTTTCATAGGCATCCCAGCTAACACGTGCCATGTGATACCCACTCAAATCCTTGTATCGTTCTATAACCGTGCTATCCATCCTAAAAGTGTTCATATTCGTTCCCATTCCGTAATCCAACACAACATAATCTCTAACTCTAAAATTGTATTTTACTGCTGCTCGTGCATCTTCTCGGTGCGTTACATCGGCTGTTGCACATAATGCAGTCAATATGAACATCATGCGTGCTATTACCATGTTTATATCGATTGCACGTCTATTTATATTTTGGTCGCTGCCAAAGCGGTAAATTAGTGCATTAAATGACAATGCAATTTCAAAGATAAGGAACCTAATCCGGATCGTGTAAGATAATTGCTCTCTTTCAAATTATTATAGTCATTTTATGCGGTGATGTACGGAATGGTTTGTTCATCATCGTATGATCGTGCCTGGAATGGCAATTACTGCCAATATCACCAGCAATTAGTATTTTAAACCAATAAATTTGTTCAAAATATTTCTTATCCCGTTCATAACTCGATCAGAATTACTGCTCTCCACCGTGCACGGTCCGTTCTCGATCAAAGGTACGTTCCATACTGCACCCCTTAATCTCACCCATACTACCACCCCAATCTTCGTGTGATTAACAGGGAGTTCAGCACCCACCAAATATCCTGTCTTTTGCTTTGGTATGAACGTAAAAAACATCTGCAATAAAACACCACAAGCATTTTATTCCTTAAATGGTATATTTCATATTGATAGGTGAAAAATAAAAATGATGATACACCTCGCACACAGCAACACTCTTTGCAGGTATTGAGCCGTAATACCGGTCTTACCTAATCTTTGTGTTCTCAAGTCTTTTCACACTCGTGCAGAGCACGAGTGCGTTGTACCTGCTTAGTGCGTGGTGCGCTACGAGCACTTTGTTGCGTGCTTGGTGCACGAATTGTCTTTTTACTCACACGATGAGGTAAATTGAACTGGCATTGCTGCAGGGCATCGTTACAGTTAGCTGTGAGAAAATGCCTTGGTCATAAAATGCAAGAAAAGTACTTTACCGTACTTTTTAGCGTATTTAATGCACCGGTTTGAACACCTCGTGCTGGTGTCTTTTGTTTTGACCGGTGTCGGCACGGTTTACCCCTTCAGAGCCGTTTGTTGTGGATTGCATCTGCCGTAGTGGTTAGACCTGTGAACCACGATGGCACTGTTCATGACATCAAGGCTGCAATCAGCAGCTAAGGACCTCCCTTTGACCTGCCACTCCGTCTTGCAATGGCAGTAGCCCTGCACTTTGCCGGTCACCGCAGCTCCGCCTATTTCCGAACGCATCTCCTGCTGCACGCAAAGAGTTGTAGGTATTTTACAGATCTGCACGCCAAGGTGAATTGAACACGGTCCGTATTGAACGAAATGGCCGGTCTCTCTGCTGTGGCGGCAATGCGTTACCGCCCCATGTGCAGCTCCAAACGAAGTACCCGGTATAAAAAGGTTAAATTTTAGAATTAATGAGCGGTAAGATCGTACGTAGTGGTAACACACCGATCAGAAAGTACGATGGGATGAATTGTTGTAAAATTACGAACTGCTGTGGTGCAAAGGAGCACTCAAATCGAATGCACGGTTATGAACCGTACCCCCGTTGACACAGCGAGCACGTGGCATGTTCACGTGTTTCCTGTGAACGAAGAACGTGCATTCACTGCATTGTGCTATCGCATACCGCCATTTTCTGTGAACGGTGTGCACAACACGTTCACCGCAGCTGTGCCATTGAAATACACCGGTATTGCAAACAACAGCGGTGGCGTACCTCAGCATGACCAGAAGATCGTGTGCAGTTCCATCCCACCGCAAAATAAATTAGGTAATGCTCACCAACGGGTACCATAAGTTTGAGCATTCTCAGGAAAATAAAAAATGAGCAACCATTCCAAAAATAAATATGTACCGTTCAACAGGCTGATCACCATCCAAAAACAAAAAATGAGCAACCACTCCAAAAATAACAAAAATATTGCACCAACCCCGCCAACACTCAAAATGCTTTTATACTCTACAATATTCGATACTCACGGCAACGTACACCATCAATCCGGCACAAAACCGCCGTACATCGACAGCATAATCGACACGGTAGTACGAAAGAACATTCAGCACGGTGAAATAATGGTGCAGGGCCGCAATGTTGCCTATAGAATGATTGGGAAGAGGGTGTTTATGTGTGTGGGTGATGATGCGAATGCACAGATTGATCGGATGGCTGCCGCGTATCAGGAGGGTGGAACAGCAGGTGAGCGGGCGGTAGATGAGCGGTCTGCCATGCAGAAACAGGGTAAGAAACACAGGCACTGGGTAGGAACTGAACGGGAGTTGGACTATTCGAGCTCTGCTCGCACGGTGAGCTACGTGCCGGTCACCAAGAGCACGTTTAACCTGTTTGACGTGAAACGGCGCTTGTTCAAGACTTTTGATCGTGAGGCGTTGCTCACGCACCTGCTCAACAAGAACGTGGCTCCGGAGGTGGCGGGTGATGTTTTGATGTATGCTGAGAGCATCGACGATGTGCGTGAGACGATGAGGAGCATCGTAAGGACAAAGATTCTTGGGGAGGGAGGGGGCGTGCCGTACCGCGTTGCGCTGGTCGGAACGAACGGTGTTGGCAAGACAACAACACTGAGCAAGCTGTGCTACCACTTTGCAAAGCATGATAAGAGCGTGTACGTGGCGGCATGTGATACGTTCAGGGCAGGTGCTATCGAGCAGCTGCAAACGTACGTGAACCGTTTAAAGATAAATCACAAGATTGACATACACCAGCAGGGGTACAACAAGGAGGAGTGGAAGGTGGCACGTTCTGCCCTGCAGCATGGCAAGGCGTACGATGTGATCCTGGTTGACACGGCAGGCCGTGTCAATAAGAAGCCGTTGATAGACTCGCTTAGAAAGCTGACAAGCCTTGGTTTCGATGACGTGGTGTACGTGAGCGAGGCATTGAAGGGGTACGAAAAGGATGTTCTTGCATTTGACATGGTGACAGCAATCATTGTGACCAAGATTGATACGGTAGATGACAGAATAGGCTCCATTCTCAATCTTTGTTACTTCAGCAAGAAGCCGGTCGTGTTCTTAGGACACGGCCAGAGCAACGTTGACCTTGAAAAGGTGGATGTTGAGAAGGTAATTGATACGCTGCTCAGCGAGTAAGGCACTGCCACGCTGAGTGTGCCGTGGTGCACAGATATAACTGCCGTTTATGCACTCTTTAAAATAATTAAATACGACTTTTGGATGCGCAAGGCGCGAGCATTCACTGTCGTTTGGCAGATGATCACGAAGTGCTTGTGTTTGTTTTGTTATTTCGAATGGGTCAGTGTAGGTCTGAGATTTTCTTCTTTTCATGTTTAGCACAGGGAACACCACGTGGAACGGTGCGTTTATAAAGAAAGCGTTTTTGATCCCACTGCAAGATTTGTACTCGAAAGCGGACAAAAGGAATGCATCGTCTGTATTTGATCTTTCTTACCATACGTACAGAGCAAAGATGTGTTAATAATGGTACCTGTGTTCCTATCTTGTGGTAAACCGTGCTTTCATTCGAATAGCTAACGCGTTATCTTTTGTGCGTCCTTACAGCTCGGTCAAAAAGTTACTCAACCGTGGTACCTGTTCTTTATCACTCGCCATACCATGCTACTACTCCATGCTACTACTCTATGCTACTAATCCATTCTACATCATACTCTCCATTCTACTAATCCATGCTAGTACTACTCTATGCTAGTAATCCATTCTACATCATACTCTCATAAATACTACTCCATGCTACTACTCTATGCTACTAATCCATTCTACATCATACTCTCATAAATACTACTAATACATGCTACTACATATCCCCCACAACACTACTAAATTCCTCATAAATCATATCCAATCCACCATCTCCATCAATTCTCCACCTATAAATTATTTCCTTTTATAAACAAACAATAACAACCCTCAATGTCACTTACATTGCTCATCACCCAATCATTCCTAATATCGGAGCTGCTCCTCCTAACCATTCTTTTATTACCCTTCGCACCCCAAAAGCTTACAATAGCCCTTCCCCGTCCCGTCCATCACCTTATTTATGCACTCGTCATGCTGATAGCGTTTTCATTCGCCGACTCGCTGTACAGAAGGTCATACCAGCAGTATTTCTACCTGAACGGCATTACACTCTTCCTGTTTCTGATACTTAAGAGGATGTTGAATGTTGTGAGTAAATTGAAGAGAGAGGAGATGGAGGTGAGTGTGATGAGGCGGCAGATTGAGAATCATAAGAAGTTTGTGATGGAGATGGTGGAGGAGAACAAGAAGTTGAGAGAAGAGAATGAAGGTTTGAGGAGCAGGGTGGTGCTAGATGGCGGTGCAAGCGGTAAAAATGAGTTGAGGTGTGGCATCGGCGATAGCGTTGCACGTAATAGAATTGCTGATGGCGTTGGCGTGGTGAGCACTGCCGATGAACCACTGGTTGATGCTCTTTGTGGCGGTGCTCAGTGCGGAGACAGTACGATGCATGCTGCCGATGAACCACTGGTTGATGCTCTTTGTGGCGGTGCTCAGTGCGGAGACAGTACGATGCATGCTGCCGATGAACCACCGGCTGGTGCTCAGCATCGGCAGGTAGCCGATGCAAAGAACGATTCAAGATCAAGTGCAGGTGAAGCGGTGCGTGAGGACAAGGGCAACGTACCTGTGCATGATGAAGAGAATGAAGATGAGAACTGGGGACCGGAATGGTAGATTAAATTTGTTGTACGTAGTTATATTTATACTTATGTAAACCTTATTTAAGAAATAAAATCTTAATTGTTTATGCAAAGCATTGCATTCAATATCTGTAATGTCGTGTTGCTGTGTTCGTGCCAATGTACAGGACTACCATACCCACCCTGTGAAGCACATTCCCTTCTTCGTGGTAGTTAACGAACTGGTGCACGACAGCGAAGGCATGATGTAGCAAAGCAAGTATGGACTGTGATAGCAGTTTTTAAAGATTGTCGTATCAAATCCAACCCAACACGTTATCCAAGTAGCAAAGATCGTACGCCAAAATAGCTTTAACGATAATTTGATTTGAATACGTTTATTCACATCCACAGATTCTCATCAATAATAAATATTTTTATTGTTAAACGCTAAAACCAAAAACTATGTGCTCAACAAATTTATTCCTTTCATCCCAAATAATTTTCTTAGCAAAAAAACCGTTTATTCATTTTCCCTTTCTCTAAACCGTAGTTTGTACAGGGAAGCAAATATGTGTTTGATGAGCATTCCCTTTGTACCGGCATTCAACAGAATACAACCACAAATTCAAAACGTAAAATTTTATTTTTAATTGCATTGATTACACGTACCGTGCGAGAGGCGCACTGCCAAAACTGTGCATTTGTAAGTTAACTGCATAAATCAATTCTGATCGGTAATTTCATGTACACCCGCTACTTTGGCAACGTGCTGTTCGTTTCATACCAACAGCATGGTTCTTATTACACCATTTCCATTGCATTCTTCACCCATTCTTCCTCATCCATTCTTCCTCATCCATTCTTCCTCACCCATTCCTCACCCATTCCTCACCCATTCCTCACCCATTCTTCCTCATCCACTCTTTTTCATCCACTCTTCCTCACCTATCCCATGTCGTACCCCTAATCGCATATCCTCATCTTTTTACGCTTTCCCCACCACCCTCAATCTCATACAAAAAATTAAACGGTCCATCCACAACACACTCAACCTCACTGTTAGATCCAAACTGTCCCGTAGAAACAACCCCATGCACACGTCTCATCTCACGCACCATACACTCAAACATGCTCCTCGCTTTGTCCTGCTCCATCATTATGTGGTAGTCCAGCTTATTGCCCTTCATACGCGCATTCAACGTAACATTGGATATTAACATGATGTGGTGGTGCGTTGCTATGGGAGCATCATCGAACAATCGCAACGATTTTATCTTTTGGACCGCTTTGTGCAGCGCAGCGGGAGTGTCTGTGCGCTGGAAACCTATGTATATGAGCAGACCTGCTGATATTGATGATATGGGTGTACCGTTTACAGAGACCTGTGCTTTTTTTACCTTTTGGATTATTAGCTGCATTGGGGGGGCGCATTAAAACGTTTTTATGGTTGGGGATAGTACGGTGCTGTCCAGGCACGTGGGCAAGTGCAAATAAAAATTATTGCTTAGGCATTCTTTGTTTGGCATTGAAACAGTGAAGCGGTAGTTTTAACAGCAAATTTGTTTTAATCGAGACATAAACGTGCAAATTATTATCACCAATCTAAACATTTAGTACCCTTCCAAATTATTATTGTTGAAGCACTGCTCCTCAATGCCGCGATCAAATAATCGGTCCTTGCGTGACAAGCAGTGAGTTTAGCCGGAGTAGTTAATCAATCCAGCATTGATTAATAACTGTAGCAATTAATAAATTTTTAGGAAACTGCCATGGACCGCCCAGTGTAGAGATGGTTCTACATGTATACAACAACACCCTACACAACAAATGCCAAAATGTTTAATATCCACCACTAAAGATACAATACCGTTCACATTACCGATAAAAATACCTGCAGCTCTTCACCACACCTCCTAAAATATCTCATCGCTCTCCACACTCTCATACCCATCATCCTCATAGCACTTATACTTCAAAATACCACCAATACCACCAAACCCTTCCTTAAACTGCTCACCCTCTGTGCTCTTATCGCTCACTATACTCAGCTCGGCATTGTACTGCTTATAATTCTCAAGCAACCAGTCTATGACCAGCTGGTCATCCACTGTGCCCTCAATGTTTTCATAAACTATCAGCTTGGTGACGGCCTGCTCATCAAGGAGACGCAACGTGTTCTTCTGGCCGTATACGACCATATCATTCTCCAGGTTCTTGAAGAACTCTTGCAGCACCTTCCTCTCTTTGAGATACCGACACATTGTCAAACTGTCCTGTGCTAGCTCTATTGCTTGATTAAGACCGTTCTCACCGCCATAATTTGTGTCTACCACACGTATAACACGATCTTTTATGTTTTTGAGAAGAATTGCGCTCTCAAAAAGCTGATTCTTAAAATCAGCTGTTCCTGCCAAAATATACCCCTCCTCACTCGTAAACAGCGAGTTAGCAATCTCAGCTACTTTCTTCACGTAGTGGTTCCTCTTTTCTATCCTAAGCCTTGCGAATCTAACACTGCTTTGACCGCCCCTGCCGTGCTTCTTCGGCAGAGACACGCTAAGCGTGTGCAATATTTTCTTTACATTGCTGTTCAACGTGGCAAATACTGTTTCGTTACCGTCCATCACTATAAAACCGAACGTTTCATTTTCTTTGAACTGCTCAACCAGAGACTCGGTGTGAAAACGGCTGTCACACATGTACACACTCGTGTTGATCGGTTTCAAAGGTTCCATCGCAACAGAAATCTTTTTCTCCTTGTTGTTGTCCATCACAGTGCCCACAAAGATTGCCAGGCCGTTCGGTGGCACGCTCTTGAATGTCCGCAATTTGTGCTGTGCTGAGGTGATTGCACTGAGCACTGAAAGTCGGTTAACACGGCTCTTTATGTTTGATGCCGTGCCGTACTCATCAACAAGCATTTTTAACGCCTTGGGTATTTGATCACGGGGCGGAAGTATGAGCGTTATCATTGATGTGCCATTCCCCCTGCTGTCCCGCAAATACAGCAGCTGTTTCTTCAAAGCGTACGATTTTATTTCGTCTTCCTGCATATTGCGAAGAAGGGTCGCGGGTTTATAAAATTTTTTAGTTCATATCAGATTTTTTATAAATTCATCTGTCTGAAGCGTCTTACATTTGCTCCACGTGATTAATCAGCGAGTAAAATGATGCGTGCGCCTGTAGTGTGGTGATTTACCGCGCGAATGATTTTTGTATCCCCTGTGTTCGCTGCGACCGTTCGCACTACCGGGTATTTACACCGATAATAGCATATTATTGGTGTTCAGCTTATCATTTCCTGTCTACAGTGCTTGCGAATCGTTTTTCTTCTGTATTTCATTCTTTATTAACCGGCCATATCATGCAGTTCTTCGTGTATTGCAATACATAAACTTAACCTGAATTGATGATCTACACAGGTTTTGTTGGTCAATTGTACAGTGAACTGCGCTATACTACTGGTAGAACGTTACCTTTTCGAGTCAATAATGAACCCTCAAAATAATCCTTCTTCTCACGTGCATCCCATCCTATCAGGTCATGACACAAAACCGGTGACTATCATCGATCTTTGCGGACAAGAAACGTGCATTATTCAGGTGAATTGTACTAGTTGATAAATAAACGCGCATCTCAAAGAATTGTTGACCAACTCAGTTCAATTCGGTTGATGCAATTGTGCAGCCTGAGCAGTGCATCCGTTGTGAAATGAATTTACCACGAGTCACACCAGCAAATTACTCGGTAACGCAATTCAAAGGTTCTTTTTCCGGTGAGTGAGTACCGCATTTCGGATTGCAAATCCATCAAATTGCAATTCTTGGTAATATTTTTGTGACGAAACATCCCTCCACGTACACCGTTAATTCAACTATTAATATTTTACCTCTTGCTTCGGTAACACCGAAGCAACAACCACCTGCAAGACTGCTACTCCTCAGAAACAGATAAGCAATCGAATACTGAAATAAACCAAAGCTTAGATCGCAAAAAAGTGATCAATTCATGGTTTCTTCAAGGACCAAAACATCCTCTACCGTAGCACACATGCTTGATGTTGGTCGTGCGCTTGTTCAATGCTCACTTGTATCTGATCCGTTAGGTGCACCTCATAATGCATTAATCTACGATGCATATCGTGTGCATATTTATAGTTTTACTAAAACCTTAATAAGGTGCATTTTTGCAATCATTTTGTTCTAGAACCTTAGAACAGTAAAAGTATAAAAGTACACCATCTCAAGAACAACATTAATGTACGACTTATTTGATATGACCAGGTAGAATATTTAGCAGTGCTGTACGATGGAGACATGGTATGTTTAATTGTATACAATGATAAATTACAGTGCCTGATTCATAGCGGAACGTAAGCTGTAAATAATCCTTTAGGCTGGAATAGGCAAAGCAAATAATAGCTGGCATAAATGTATGACATTGCCGTAAAAAAATTTTTCTCTGTATTCGCATGTAAGTATTCTAGGAAAAGCCGTTTTCTAACATATCACCTAGTTGCAGCATGCCTAAAAGCGCAGCTTGCGATGTGAAGAAGGAATATGGACATATCTCAATTATTTCAATGACGATACAGCCAGTGCAGAAAACCTGTTTATTGAATGCTGACATAAAAGAATAATAATTTGCATGTTTAGTACTCTTTCGTTACGAGTCCTTCATTTATAACCCATACGTTCAACACCATTCAAACGAATGCGCTTGTCTGAGATCACATCCTTAGCAGTTCTTCACTGAAAGTGTGCTCAATACTTACTACAACAGAAAGGTATCGCTATCCTAGCAGCTATCAAAAATTTTTGACGGCGCAGGTCATGTACCGATACAAAGTGTGGATGTGCATCACGTTGTACCAGAGATACTTGAGCACAGAGTATCACAACACGGTAGTTCAACTAATGCAGTTCATCGTATAGAAATGTACTGCGAGCAGAGAATGTGATATTTATATTTATTGCCAAGGCGGTCCGTGTTCAATCAAATTTACTTTCATATCAGCGTGTGCCCGTGTGTCAAAGTATGTTTACTAATTATTTCCATGTTATAACAAATTATTCCATGACACAACTAATTTACTTCCATGCTACATTTACTTTTATTTATATAGCAGAATATTATGCTCATAAACACAATACCCGTTCTAACTTGTAAGTCCCGGTGACGTACTTCCAGGTGTGACAGACCCATCCCCTATCCCAAAGAAATCTTTAATGCCATCACCCATTGTATTGATAATTTCTTTAACTAGCCCCATCAGTATTTTCAGCCCATCCTTCTGTTCCTTAAGTTCTTTGACGCGTTCTATGGTGTACGCCAGCCAGTCATCATCATTATCAGTACCAGCCGGATGATTGCCAGATACACGTGTTTCGCTCGGTCTCCTCTTCGAACCACTGCCCACTTCCGTATCTTCCTCCTTCTTGCCGTGGAAGAATCCGAAGTAAACTACCGTAGCCGCCAGACCGATAATAGCGAGCAGCACGACTGCCCATAGGACGTATTTCTTATGTTCTGGTTTCATGCCCTGTACAGCAAATGCACTTTTATACGTGTGAATTATTCTTTATTGGTGTGTTTAATACTTTCGTTTTGAGAGGCTCTGCAGTTAATTAGGATGGAAAAGTTGAGATTAAAAACATGGAAGGGGAAATACGAGAAAAGAAGAAAAGGATGGTTGCGCTGGTAGCAGTGCCAAGTGTGGAGGCAATAAACGTACTTTTGGTAAAAAACTTGCTGGTGCGTATTGGTAGCGTGGTGCTTAGCACGTACCAATAAATGCGGTACAATCAGTGAATTACCATGGTATTGATCAGCAGAACATCATAAATCAGTAAAATGATGTTTTAAGGAATTTATCATTGGTCACGTATTGAGGTACGGTTCGATGTAATTTTGTTATTTGGCGTGCAACGCTGTAATGGCAGTATATGGTAGGTTAGTTTTCAGTACAGGCCGTAAGAGTACCTTAAAAATACTGATCGTGCTACAAAGCCGTCCAAATGCTACCATTTATGCCCAGAAATACACCGCCTTGTCCCCAATTCGTGCGAAGCTCGCTGCTCCATACCGGTTAAAAGGGTAACAAAATCAGATACAGCAATTATACCCTTTTCAACAGCAAATATGTTCGTAATGAACAGGCAATGCACCGTAGCTATTTTACACTTTTTGTGCTCCACACTAAATTACGTACCACGTAATGTTACGGTAATAAATTCTGTATTTTTATCATTTCTATGAATGAGCAAGAATTAAACGCAAATAAATATTAATGTTTTATACCGGTGGTAGGTTGGTGATCTAACAGATCAAGGTTAGATTGGAATGTATGAATGGTAGTGGCTGAGTGTGAGGTATATGATTGGTTTAGTTAACTAATATTTACTATTTATTCATTGTTTGATCATTACTTACCTCAAATATTTGAATTTATCCGTATAAGTACACATGGTTTATCAACACAAGATTAATTAGTTGTGCTATTACTACACGTGCAAAATCGCAGAATACGTGCTATATCACCATTTAAAAGTATAAAATAACAAAGAATAAAATATTAACGTAATAAACCAGAATGTTGCAAATTGTACTTTTTACGAATAGCACCACTCTAATACCAAATAAAGCATTCTCAACAGGTAACAATAACACCGTGATCGACTTTAAAATAAATAGTTGTGCTGTTATTGCAAGAAAGATGTAATTGTACCGTTTTAATGATGCGTTCCTTGCTAAAATGGTGTTAACACCAAAAAGTAGTAAATTGTGTAAAAAGCACGTGTAATTAATATTTTACGGAAAGGTGGAAAATTAAGGGTAAAAAAAAGTAAATAATAAAAAGTGTATTATAATTCGTCTGATAAATCATCTTCTTCCAGCAAGGAAGCTGTTGTTAAACCATTTGCTAAGCCGTTTACAAGGCTGCAAAAATTTATTATGGAGACTTGGATCGACAAGATGAAGAGTGGCGACAAAATCATGTCAATTAAAAAGGAAGTGGAGGAGTCAAAAGGAAATGTAGTAATTTTCAGAAGTTGATTTCCAACTACAAGTTGGCAATGGAGCAAGAAAAGCTGAAGATTGAAAAAAATATTAAATTAGACACTAATGGTTTGGTAAACAACCAAGACCATGGTAATACAAAAGGTTGTTTACACGAACATAAGGACAGCATCACTTTCATGGGTGAGTGCAGTGACAAATCTCATCACGATGATGAGTCATCAGATGATCGTCTTGCCGGTGGCGATGGATCTGATGAGAGTACTGATAGTAACGGCTATCACGTACAAAGTGAAACAGCCGAGCACTATGCTGGTGAGCTCAACCAGATCTGTGCGAATTGTACGGCAATGCACTTTAAAGACGAGGCACACCGTAGACGTGCGTACAAGAGCTGCTATCACTTCGGCAAGCTGGCCTACACACCACGAGATAGCTATCCAGAGTATCTCAGATCGCCGTTCACCGATACAGCAAGCAGCGATCATAAAAACTTCAAGGCCAACATACGATCGTACAACAGTGCCCTGTCGTTTGCGTCGATGGGTGCACATGTGGAGCAATTCACACGAGGGGTGTACTTCTTCAAGGTGCATGGTCAGGTCTACCACAACACATACAATATAAACCCGCTTGAAAACACTAACAGGAGATACTCACAGTTGTATGTGATTGATACAAACGATGCCACAGATCTGAGATCGAGAAACCCTGCAAATGAGAAGTGTAATAGAGCAATACTACACAATCTTGACAGGACAATAAGAGAAGTCAACCCGTGTGCAGAATCTTGCTGAGGTTGAGAGAAGTGCAGTGCGTGAAGGAAAGTGTTGATGGACCTGAACATGGTGTTCAACAAGAACATTCATCGTGACATAAACAGGTACAATGCTCCTACAACGGGCGAGATTACAATGATATTTAGCGAAACACAGCTGCCATTCATACTCAAGAGAAGACAGTTTCCGGTTCTTCTTTCGTTTTCGATGACAATCTACAAGTCACAGGGTCAGTCATTTGACAAAGTAGGTGTTTATCTGCACTACCCAGTCTTTGTGCATGGTCAGTTGTACGTAGCTTTGTCGAGAGTGCGCTATGCAGACGGTCTAAGGGTGTATATTGCTGACAATGGAGACCAAGGAAAGTGTGAGAATGGTAAAGTATACACAAGAAATGTTGTGTATAATGAGCCATTATAATGAAAATGATTTATTGATTTGTAACTATACAACAGTTGGTAGAAAGGAATGACCTGATGTTTTAGTTATATTCAAAAGCGTTATTTTGGTATACTATCCATTCATACATCCTTTTTTGAAAAACAAGCAGTGCAGCTAAAGTTAGTCTTTGCATAGAACTGAGCATAAGAAACATTTCAGGATCTACTCGCTGATGTAAGTAGCTAAACATCTTTACAACATGTTCTTTGTCATTAAACATGGTTCAATAGATCAGTTGTATGAGTAAAAGAAGTAAATATATCTACCCGTTCTGCACTATGTACTATATGTAGTAAGTCGAAAGTAAATAAACGTATTATTGACAAAAAATGTTGGTACATAAACCAAGTATTATCCAGGCTATTTATTATTTTTGTTCATTTTAGCAATTACATGACTCTTGCTATTCCATGCTCACTGGCTCAATATTTACACATCATATGAATAAGGGTATGATTTTTCCGTTTGTGCACTTTAGGAAAGCGTATAAATACAAAAAATTTGTTAATACCCCTTACCAAATATGCAAATGATTATAATACTGATAAGATCGGTGTATGTGATGGATAACTCGTATCCCGACGAGGATAGTGGACATATCGGAGAAAGTTCTTCAAGCAACACTTTCATATATCCTGGTATGGAAGTAGTCGGCCATCCTACGCAGTTGACCGCGTGTAGCGATGGATCACAAGAACATGCACAACATGATAGTGAAAGTGCGGGAACGAGCAGCTCAAGAAAACGCAAGAGAATGAGCGGACAATCGAATGAAGGTCGCTCGGACAGGCTTGAAAAGTTGCAAAATGTCATTTTTAAAGTGATAAATATGAGAGAAGATTTTGCACAAGAATATAATCAAACAACAAAGGATAATTAAGGAGATTTGGAGTTATCCAGGTATTTTGATAATCTAAAAAAAATGTTGGTTAAGTTTGCACGTTGTTTACATACAAATATGAGAACGATAATTAATACGGGAACAGATAATTGTGATATTTTGTCACATATTTCAGAATATATTACATTTAGGACAAGCGAAGAAGAACAAATGAAAAGATTTAAATTGTTATTTCTGGAGCTGGATATTGCACAAGTTGATGTTCCTTGTGAGGGTGAGAAAAAAATTTCTCTGTTGCTGGTGAATTATGTCAGCTATGACAATGAAGGGTATTCTATGCTAACAACTAATGAGAAGATAAGTGAGGCAGAGTATTTTAGTAGTCAAAGTGTGAAATGTGTAGGTTGTAGGCATTCTCATCGTAATAGATGTTTTATTATGCAAAATGTGATCGATATTTTATTTGAAAACTCATTAGAAATGCTGTACGGAAACAAAGTTGTTGACAAGTGTTTGCTTTTTTCTGAGTTTACAAGCCTTTGTGGGTATTTTGTGCAGTTCCACAACAATGTAACAAAAATATTGCTGCGTGATAAAGCGATCACGATATATCTTGTCAGCAGAATCGAAAACATTGCAACATCATGCATAAAACTGAGGAATAGAGGAGATAATCCGTTCGATAACAAACAGAATATACTGAGACAGATCGTTTATCGTTCCTTTGTTCGTACATTTCTGTTTTCACAACTTCTTTGTGTCTTCAAAGTTAAGTCAAGCGTTATTTCTAAGTACGTATTTTTTTCCGAGTTGGAGTATACTTGCTCAACAGTTTGTGGTGCGAGTAATCCTGATACTGTTTGCGATACTTTTTTGGAGGGATATGAGCCTCTATTCTTTTTGCTGTCTGGTTTATTTGACAAGATTGGGTTTACAAAATATGATTGTCTCGCTACTTGGGATAAGAATCTAAGCATGGAGCACTTAAATGGAAAATACATTCTTAAGGAGATTCTTAGTATCTATTCAGATCATATGAAGGATGCACTAAGACAAAACGTAAAATGGTTGTATGGATATATTGGACGGTATCTCTCCACAAGCTATTCTGAAAGGCGAGATGAAATACTTAAGAAAATTGAGGAGTTGGATTATAACAACTCTGAACATATGGAACAACAAGTTTGTGATCTTTATAAGTGTGTTAGAGGACATCTGGAAGAGTTAATACGCCAGTAAATAACACCCAGATATGAGAATCATAAGATTAAATAATATTCATGGATTTGTGTTGTCTAAATATTGCATGTGTTTTTGTAGTAGTTTTTACATCTGATATTACAGTTCATTATTATTGTGAACAAACATTAGATGATATCATCATCGCATGAATAAAAAGACAACTCAGAAGCTTATTAATAAATCGAAAAAAATAAATTATTTGACCCTTCGAGAGAAATCAAAAATGTTTGTTTCACGTATTTGCACTGAATATATAGTCAAAAGCTGTTGTGCAGCTCATTCTTTCCGAGAAGCACTTAGTCATCACTTATAAGCAATATCTACTTTGTAGTACATCTTAATAAATTTTTATACACTAACACATACATCAACTTTAGTGAATGTTACATAAAAATGTGAATAAGGAAATAAAACGCTCTGTTCTGAGCTTGTACAAGAACGCTTACTATTGGTCGAGTTAAATGGCGTTCTACGAACACATTAACACGCATTTTATTCGTGTGACAATGGATTAGTGTTGTATTTCTGGAAATCATTTCCACGGCTCAACATCTCGTTCATGCTTTTTTGTCGGACCTTGTATTTTACTTTCATACAGTCTTTCTACTGTCCAACACTGCACTTTTCCCTATATCTTGTTTTATTTTACTTCTTAACACCTCAAGCACCTTTCATCTCGCGTGTGCATATGTTTTTTGCTCATCCTTAACCCATGAGCTTTTCAATCGTACAGGGCCTAAAAGACGAATGGCTTAACAAACTAAAGACGAAAGCAAACCGCAAAGTATGCATTTACTACAAGAAAGAGCATAGGAAAAGCATTGTATATTTCCAATGCGGTTATAAACTGGCAATCGGTGGGCACCGAGATGACGATCATGTTCTTATCGTGCAGAAGAGCGATTTTGCAGACAAAACCTGTTTTACATTCTTTTTGTCGAACGAGAATGTGCCAAGAAACTTCAACAAAATACCTAAAAAATACGCCAATCACCTTTTGATCACGCAGTACTACGAGAAGCCGTGCGCACTGAACTACGTTGTTAGTCCATGCAATTACACTCCTCTTGTAAAGAAATAATAAAAAATAATAAATAATAAAGAAGGTGAAAAAACGTGTAATGGAATTTAATTGAGAGGGTAAGCATTGATTGCCTATATTTTAAGGAACGGTGATCAAAAGATTTTTACTTTAATTACATCCATCCACATGCTTCCACAGCACACCGCTACGCTTATCACCTTAGACTGTGCATCGATGCTTGACGCAGAAGGGATCTTCAACGGAAAAGAGCGCATTTTGTGAACAATTCGTTTGAACTGTAGGAATGGGTAGCATTGCTGCTACTGATCGTACAAAGGTACGAGAATAACGAAATGTTCAATTTGATAGGTGATATTGTACTGTGAGCTGCAGGGCATTGTTTGCTTGTTTTTAGCCGTGATCGTACGATTGGTGTTTTGCACTTTTGATCGTTTTAGTGCTGTCCGTTTGATGTTCCACAGTTTTGTGCTATAAAACTATGTTAAGCATTTTTGTGCATTAAATCACAACCACTTCTATTCATTATTTTACCTGCCGGTATTGCCATACCATTCATTTTTTATCATTTCCTTTATCCATCCTATGAATGTGCCTTTTCACCTTTCCTTTCTTCACCTTTCCTTTCTTCACCTTTCCTTTCTTCACCTTTCCTTTCTTCACCTTTCCTTTCTTCACCTTTCCTTTCTTCACCTTTCCTTTCTTCACCTTTCCTTTCCTCACCTTTCCTTTCCTCACCTTTCCTTTCTTCACCTTTCCTTTCCTCACCTTTCCTTTCCTCACCTTTCCTTTCCTCACCGCTTCGCCCCAAACACGTCATTTGCCCTTTATTTTGCTTCTTCTGCCTATGCACGTCCCCAATCACTTCCAAAACACCAACAGATAAAACGTGAAAGGCCTCAAAAAGTACAAAAAAAAAGGAACGTGCCCTCCCCAGATGGATCACGAACGAGCAACAATCGACAAAATGATAAATTTCATTTACTTCGAGGCAAAGGAGAAAATAAATGAACTGAAAGCAAAAGCAATAGAGGACTACAACACAGAGAAGAGCAGACTGATAAAGGAGCGCAGCGATGTGGAGGAGTTGGAGCTGAAGAAGCGTTTGAATGAGCTGAAGATAAGCAGGTTGAAACGGGTATCGGAGGTAAAGTTGGAGTACAAGCTGGAGGTGGCGAGGCGGAAAGAGGCACGCGTGAATGCGCTCGTTGAGATTGTGAAGAAGAGGTTGAGAGGCGTGCACCTCAACCAGCAGCTGATCAATCAAACAATGGATGTTGTGGGGGATGAGACGGACGTGGTTGTGTATGTGTTGGCGAGAGATAGGAGCAGGGTGAGCAAAGGCGAGGTCAGAGAGCTGGACAGCGATAAGCTGGGAGGCATCGTTGTTATGAGCAGGGATGGCACGGTGCTGGTTGATAACAGCTATTTGACAAGGCTTGAGAAGATGAGGGAGCAGCACATGCCGAGGATTAGTAAGGAGCTGTTCAAGGGCAGGGAACGGGTGAAATAAATACGATTGATACTTTGGATGCGTGTGCATGCACCGTGGGAACGAGCGATGCGGTAGTTGCTGTGCGATTTGTGGGCAGTCGTACAACAACGGAGCACTTGTGCGCGGCACGATGCGGTAAATAAACGAGTTTTAGCAAAAAAGAGAAGCTCCGCTTGCAATGGCTTGGACTGAAACCGCCCATTTGGGTATTTCGTGGCGGAGATCGTGAGAGACGCTCAGCACGCCGTAAGGATGCGTGCAGAGAACGGTTGTTCACGAGGGGTGGTCACCACCATTGCAAAACGTACCAGACACGAACTGCAGGTGCACGCACCCCGTGGCACGGTAGCAGTGATACACTCGCAAAACCGGCAGGTCCTGAAAGGGCAGCGCACCAACATTGATCAGGGCAGGTGGTACGTTATAAAAGCATCATCACCTCTTCCTCATGGCACATCCGCTCCTGAGTTCGAGTGCAGTTCACGATTACCAAATGCCACAAAAAAACGTGCAAACACGGTCCGTTCATGTGTTAAAATACCGTTGCAGAGCGCACACCGTTCCTTTTACTACCGAGCCATCCTAAAATTTTTACCTTTTTAAGTAAAATAATGCCAAAAGCTGCTCATTTCATCCTCGGCATCTTGAACGGTGGAAATAGCGCATTTGTTCAGAATGGCACAGATGCAAATACGAGAGAGGTGGAACAGGTGATGGCTACGGTATGGCGGCAATGATCGGAGTGCCTGCTGCTATCTTGCTGCCCGCTTTTCGTCCATGGTGTGCACTTCGTAGGTTAGACGGAGGGCTGTGAGGACGCAGAGGCGTGGGAATGATTCGATGCTGAGCATTCGGAACGGGCAGGGAGGTAAAAAAAGGAAGGGCTGACACGGGTGGAAATGAGCGAAAGAGCGATTGGAGAAACTGCACGAGAAATACGCGTTAAGTCACCCGCGTGGTGATGCATAAACGTACGTTTGGTGAAAACACCTCAAATTGCGATTGCTGTGCATTAAAAAATAATTTTTTATGTTTGCAGGCTGTTACGCAGTGCCGAGCAGCTGCTGAGGTGGAGTGCACTAAGTGCTATGAGCTGAAGAATTTAATTGGTGTTAGAACAGCAGATCGAACAGAATTGGTTTACCGCACTTCCGGTACGGCAACGAAGCGAACAGCTGTTTATGACGGGGTGGCGTGGTGGGCAGGACAGGTTGATGCGTGCGGAGGATAAAAAGGCGTGTTATAAGAACGAGCCGGTGAATGCAACCGTTTGCACGGTATTTTTTACTCTTCAACAACGCTTGTTCTAAAAATGCTGTGCACACGACCAACCAGCACGTATCACCCTTTCGTACCTGAACGGAATTTCTTACACGTTCAACAGCGTGGTACTCTGTTCGAATCAAAAATGGTTTTTCTTACGAACGTACCATCATCAAATATTTATTTTTTAGAAGTACGTTCAGTTTTTGGTTAGGCACTCTGCCCGTCTCTTCAAGGTGCTCTGCCCGTCTCTTCAAAGCGCTCTGCTCGTCTCTTCAAAGCGCTCTGCCCGTCTCTCGAGATTTCTTCGTCCACTTGCCCATCAAAATAAATTACCATTTTTTGCCGATCCCCCGATGACAATTGTGATAGACAACGGCACCTGCACCATAAAGTACGGCATAGCGGGCACGCAGCCGCGCACCAAAGAGAACATTCTGTACAAATCAAAGCACAGCTACTCGTTCGTGCCATCAAAGGACAGCTACATCAAGAAAATGTTCGTGAACAACATACCGGTTAATTACGATGTGCTGGAGGGAACGCTTGACTGCTTGTTTTCTGAGCTTGCCATTTCCAGGGTGGACGATATCGTGCTGACGGTGGGCGTGTGCACGCCAAAAATAGTGAGGAGAGAAATTGCGGAGATGCTGTTCGAGGTGTACAACGCACGGCGCGTGCAGCTGGGGGTTGACTCGGTGTACAGCTACCTGCACAACGTGAAAGACCGGAATAAATGCGATATTATCGTGTCTTCGTCGCATTCAGAGACACATTTGGTGAGAATGGACCGGCTTGATGACGTTGTAGCGCTGCCGTATGGTGGTGAGCGTGCAAAAGCGTATTATAACGCGTTGCTGCGGCCAAAGAACATACGAAAGACGGAGTTCTACGTGAGAGTAGCCGGAGATTACCGAAGAGAAGCGCTGTCAATTTATGATAAGCTGAGGAGCAGGGACCTGAATGGCAGTTACGTACTGGAGGAGAAGAAGAATGCGGAGAAAGCGGAGAATATGAAGATTAACGTTAAGAAAGCGTTGGAGAAGAGGAGGCTGAGGAAGAAGGAAATGGAGGATGGGGATGTTGCTGAGACTGAGGATGATGTTGCTGGGACTGAGGATGATGTTGCTGGGACTGAGGATGATGAGGAAGGAAACGATGAGAATGATGAGGAAGGAAACGATGAGAATGATGAGAGTGGCGGGGATGACAGGGATGGAATCATAATCGATAACTCGCAAAATGCTGACGAGGACCTCGAGATGGATGAGCGTTCTCATGTGCCGCAGGTCAACGGACAGTCGGTGGACAGTGCTGCCAGAAGAAACAGGATGGTGTACTTCTCAGCGGTCTACCGCAACAAGCAGAAAATAGAGAAATGCCTTTCGAGGATGAGGGACAGGCTCACGCAGATGGAGGACTTGTACTTCAAAATGAGCGAACCGGAGCGCTACCTTGAGAACATGAAGGAAAGGTTCTTCGTTCTCAGGGCCCGTATCCAGGAAAAGGAGAACCTGAAGAGGAAATTGAAGAACAAGAGGAGCAGGGAGAGCGCACTGCTGAGCAAAGTAGCAAACATGAACGAGAACGAGCAATTTTTCACGGAGGAGGAGGTGGAAATAATCGAAAAAATCAACGACATCGACCACGAGGACGGTGTTTACGAGGAGAAGTACCAGAACCTGCTCAACGAAATCTACAGGCTCGATCCCTCGTTCGAGTTCCTCGACTTTAACACGGTTGAGATTATGAACGGCGACCACATGGGCCTGACGCTCTCCAACACGGAGAGTCTGCGGGTGGGCGAGGCGGTGTTCAATCCAAGCATCATGAACTGCTCGCTGCCCGGCCTGTCAGAAATGATAGAAAATGCGTTTCAGACCATCGGCAAGGAGCAGAAAAACGTAAATGTTTTTGTAACGGGCGGCTTTTCACAGATCGATGGCTTCTTTGAGAGAGTGGTGGCTGAATGTACGATGAATGCGTATGGTGCAGTGAAATTCATCAAGGCTCAGGATCCGATCTTGGACGCCTTCCGCGGTGCATCTTTCTGCGAGCACTTCCCGGTGATAACCAGGGAGATGTACAGGGAAGATGGGCTAGAACGGCTTTTTGAGTGATTTTGCCGTGCCGGTTCGGCTGTGAGCATCCTACACAGTAAAAAAGGTTGATGTGAACGAGGAGGTCTGTCCACCGGGTCGCACCTCAGAAATGTTTTTGTAATCGCGCCGGGCGGTTGATCGTGGATGAGAGCTTAACCAACAAACTGCTGCGCTGGGCGGTATGTGCTGTCCTTGGCTGCAGCGCCTCTTAGCATCGCGGCCCGTAACACGCCGTGCTCGTCCAATTTGCTCGTTGCATGAGCATGAAAAACCTGAAGCACCTTATCGTGCCAGAAACACCCGTTGGATCAATCGGTTGCCCATAAAAGTGGGCTGTGCCCGTGGTAGAAGCTGCTGCTTATTTTTGTGTGAAGGCGTGTTTAATTAAAGGCGTTGCACGGCTCATTCAACGTCCTCTTGAACTGTTGGTGATTTTACGTTTTATTTTGGAGGGAGCGCCCGGAGACGGCAGTTCTTATGAAATCTGCTTGGTATTGAATTCGTTCCTGGTTCGGTGCGCTCTCTGATCCTTCTCTGCTCGAGCGCTGCTTCTCTCACCCAAAGGTAAAAAACCTTCGCGTCATGCCGCCCAACACCGCCCTCTCACACCGCATCGTAGCAGTACGATCCGAACGTCCGTCTGTTCTCAAGCTTGTACTGTATGATCTTGTCATCCATGGAGATGAACACCTTCTCCTGGTCCTCGAGAAAGGCCGACCCGCTGATCTGCTTGTCCATGTCATCAAACACCTTTATGCTTTGCTTGTTCTCGTAGTCTCGCGCATCAAGCAGCGTGAAATACGACACGTGCTCGGTAAAGATCAGCAGATCAAGCGAGCGCTTCTTCGAGAACTCCACGTTCCGGCACGCTCCCTTAATGCTCCTGTTCTGTTTGCTGCGTATGACCATGTTCTTCGTGAGATTGCGCGTATCGTAGATGCAGATGTACCCGTCCTGCGTAGAAATTGCAAACGACGTGGACGTAGCGTTCCACGACACCTTGAACCCGCCGTCGTTCATGCTCTTGAGTGTTCTGTCCTTCACGAACTTTCCGCCCTCCACGTTGAAGTAGAAGATCTGGTTCGTGTCGCCCACGCTCACCAGGTGCTTGCCGTCCAAGCTCATCTCGCAGTTGTTCACGGGCCATGGATGGGTGATCATCTCGAGCTCGTCCAGGCTGTCGTACGAATACCGGCGTATCGTGTTGTCGTTGTTGCAGAACAGGAAGTTCGTCTCGCCGTTGAACTCGCAGATCTTCACCGCGTTGTTGATGGCGTGCCCGACAGTGCCAAGCACAAACCTTTCGTTCTCCAGGTTTTTCACCGCGTACTGCCCCTTCTGCCCGCCCACGACCACGAGTGAGTCGGTGGCACTGATACTCGTCGGGAAGAACGAAAGGTCCGTTATTATGTCGTCGAGCGCACCGGTCGGCACATTGAACTTGCACACCTTGTTGCCCTGGCAGAACACAAGCGAGTTGCTCGTGCCCTTCAGCATGTCGCGAAGCTGCCAGTGCTGCACAGGCACAGCTATGCTGTGCTCAAGACACTCCGGCTGAACAAAATCGCACGTGTCCCTTAGCTCATGAATTGTCATCGATGTGCGATGGCGAAAAGCGTTTTTATGGTAGAAAATGAGTGTTTTAACTCTCATTTGCTCCTGATATTCGATTACTGGTCGGTTGCTGCTGATCGCTCTGATTCGTTCGTGGAAGCGCAAAAAGGGCAGCGATGGGGTGATTGGGATAGCAGAGCAGCAACAGATGAAGGAGACTGCCGCACAGGTATTGGTCAGGAACAGACCACAGGACAACCGCTGGTGCACACCGATAGCAGACGTTGAGGGCCGTCCGGTGCGGATGCCGTAGCATACGAACAACGCATCCAGGACTACCAACCGGGCATAGGACACGTATCCATCCACGGATACCTGCACATGCGCAATCAAGCAGCAGTTTCCGAGCGAACCCCCGATCTGGCCGCTCTTCATTTGTCCGTTACCCTGCCTGATCTAAGAATGAAAAGAAGTTTTGCGTGCCGTGGCGCGGTTTAGACGTGTTCTACGTGCGTGACATAAAAGAACAGCGCAGCAAATGAGCAATAAATTCATTTTTTGCTTCATGCGGTAAAAAAGCGGTGCAATACGATTACCTGTGCCAGCGTGTGCACGGTAAAGAACTGTCTTTGTTCACAAGAATGATCTTTTTAAAATTGTAAAGATGTGAGTTTGTTTCGTTCTTAGCGCACGAGTGGGGTACATCACTGGTACTGTATTATATTTCCAAAAAAGGAAGTTTTGTTTAAAGTTGTGCTATATCACCTCACACTGAACAGTACTGATTGAATATGATCAAAAAATTGGCGTCCACGCTTAGAAACGGTTGTTTCGAACGAATGCGTTTCACAACCAAAAAGCACCAAAACTTATACACGGCGTATTACGGCATTGCTACGATCTTTTCGTCCTGCACCTGAAAAACATTTGCCCAGAAAGGCGTGCATACCTGATTTTGTGCCATGAAAGAACGAATTGATGTGTTTTTACCGAAAGTTTGTTCATTCATCTCCTTGCAGCACACAATTCTGATAAACGTGCTTTCGATAAAAACAATTGCAGCGCATCACCATGTATCGAATGCGATCTGTGTGCTTGATCTACTCCTTCTGGTCGAAACACAGATACCGGACCAGAATGTCTGTGAACAAAAGGGGTGTTCACCGCCTGAGGGTCAGCTCGGCTGTAAGACTAAAAAATTGGGTTCGAGGTGATGGGCAAATTTGGTTTAATTAGTCGGACTTGGTGCGCAGTGCAATTTGGAATGAAACGTACCACCGGCACAGGAACGCAGGGCACTCGAACAGAACGGAAAGATTCACTTTATGGCCAGAAAACGATTTACCTAACGCTCGAAGAGCAACTGCTCATTTTCTATCGCAGGACTTGGTTCAATACGCTCTCCCGTTTTAATTTAATGTAGCACGGCATTCAAAACAAATTGTTCAGATCAACATCGGGTGCTGCCGCTTTCTCCTTCTTTATTATACCCTGTGCACCTACGGCAAGGTTCCTTCGGCCCAGCTCTGCTAGCTGCTGTCCCTTGATGTTCCTCAGAAAGGCCTTCATCAGAGTCTTCCGCTTCTTGGCATCTCGCCGCATCTCAGCGAGTGCCTGCAGATCGTTGTTGACCATCAGCAGCGTGTTATCGTCATACACATCGACAAGCATGTTCAGAACATCACCCTGCAGATCGGTGAGACCGGGCGAGTTGTACAGCGTAAGGAGCAGGTACGTGCACCGCGGCTTCAGCTCGCTCGGTATTACCTTCTTGTTCAGGATCAGCAGGATTTTTCGCAAAAGAGAAATCTCGTCGATTTGCAACAGCTCTATCATTGGGGCCACAAGCTCGTACCGATTGAGAACACCGAGGTAAATGCGCGTCAGCACGCTCAGCTCGGTCCATTCCTCGCTGTCCCTCCACTCCTTCATCACCCTGTTGTGCACCCCTTCAAGGAAATAGCTGTAGCACCTCAGGCCGCCCACAAATTCGATGAAATACTTCAGCTCAAGCACAGGAACTGTGCCTATGCTGTTGTAGCTCCGCTCTATAATCTTTGAATCGATGACCTCCTCGTTGCTGTCGAAGTTCTTTCGTGCCAGCACCTTGCGTATCCGCTGCAAAATACCGAAACAGAACCTAAAGTCATCTGTCTTCATAAAATAGTCGTAAAAGAACTCAACGTTCTGCATCGCTCCGTTCTCGTCAAACTGCAGGTAATAAAAATACTTCTCGGCCACCTCTGCGTTCCAGTCGATGCCAAGGATGTTGTAGCTTGGTATCATCGTAGCTATTTTAACGTACAATTTGTTCGATTTGATACATTCTATCAGGTTGCGCAGCTCAATCTCTGAGAGCGGCACGCGATCGAGCGCCTTGATCATGAGCTTCTCTCCCTCTGGGTCCGTGCACAGCATCTCGACGTAACCAAAGCACCGCTTGTCGCGCTTCTTGTAAAAATTGCACGCCTGCACGAACGAGTCCTCGCTCGCAATCTCGTTGTTCTTCAGGAGCTGCACCAGAAGCTCTCGTGGCACCTTCTCTACATTGAGGAACGATGCATCGAACTGCTGGCGGGACACCTCTATAAAAAATAGCATGGCCTCGTTTCGCGTGTAGTTGTCCGCCTCATCGTACCGCTCTGCGATGCTTTCTAGGATTTGGCATATTCGCGCCATCTTTGCCTCGTAAACGCCTGATGAACCGGGTGCAACCAAGTCGTCATCGTAGAGCAGGCCGATGCGCCGCCTCAAATACAGCAGCGCCGCCAAAAAGCACTGCTCGTCCGATATCAACCCGCGTACCGCGTAGTCCAAAAAGGGCGTGCTCTTTCTGTCGAGTGCAAAGAGCATCTTAGCGTTCGGGGGCCTTCCCCCCAGGTACGAGAATAGAAAATTGTAAAACGCGTCACTCTGCTTCCTGTCGAGCACACCAACGATGAAGCTGTCCAGATCAAACGATGAGTAGGCGTTAAGCACGATTTGCGGATCAAACTCTAAGACAGTGCTGAGATGCTCGAATATGCTGATGCATATGAGCGCAATTCCTATTTCGTTCTGGTCTTGCAGATTAGTCCGTATGAGAAAAGACGAGAACCGCTCCGCAGATATGTTCAGGGCCTCCTTAAGTTCCTTGCGCCTCTTCTCGCTGATCTCGTTGCCGTACCTGACGTGATAAAGAAACTTTTCAAAAATGTTGAAGCCAAGGGCATCGTTGCCGGCCATCAGGCTCAGCACGTTATCGAGAAAATTCGGAAAGTGCAGCGGCCAATCAAGAGTACCGGCCAGCGCATACACAGACGCAAACTTGTTCGCAAGCTCGTTGGCGGGGTAGTTGAAGCGCTCTATCAGCGCTATCAGCGGTGCCATGCTCTTTCCCTCCAGCTTGAACTGCTTCATAAGCTGCTCCACAAGAATCAGAAAGTATATTTTGGTGCGCTCGCTGCGCAGCAGCTCCGAAAGGCTTTCCAAATCGGCATTAGTCAGGATTCGTCCCATTTCTGTTTCGATACCTTTGATGTCGTTCGTTGCAATCAGGTCGATCAGCTTGTGCATTGCTCGTATTTTTAATTTGAATGGGTCCGAAATAATTTTATTAAAAAGTTTTGCTGTAAACACGGTCTCAGCATGCTGTGTCAATCGCGCGTGCAGCGTGAGGCGGTTTAATTAAAATAAATTGATCGGGCATAGCTAGCGCAAAGCCGTGCTCAGACACGTCGCTGGGCTCTAAGGCGGCGGTAGCTCCGCCGGTGCATGTTTATCTTTGGATGCTTCGCGGTGGAGCACGTTACAGAATGGTTGTGGCTGGCTATCGGTTTCATATAAGAACATCTGAAACAGGTAAACGGTCTAAAATTAGGATTTTAGCACAAGGCTCGGCATGATAAATGGTTTTATCTCAAACACCGCTTTCTGTCACCACGAAAGTTATTTCTGTCCGCAAATCAATTTCTGGAATAAATTGAACCTGGTGGGCTCATCGCGTGCATGCGATCGATCAGCACCGTTTTCGCATCGAATGCACCGTTGAAACTGTGGTATGCTGTGTAGAAGGCATACCATGCATCGACCTGGAACAGATTATTCGAGCTGTGTGCATTTTTGGCATATTTACCGTAAATTGAGAGGAAAGACGTGATTTTGTATGAGAAGAGGGTAAATCGGTGCGTAATACAAAGAAGAACGCATGAGGAGATACGTAGAACGCTGCAGAAGCAAAAAGTACTGGGACAAGAGTGCAAGAAGAAAAGAGAAAACCGACCCGTCTGAACGTAAGAAAAGGGTAATTTACATACTTCAGAGGTTGTACAAACTAACTATGGGCTAGGGGCACAAAATGCGCTTTGGTATCAAAGATTGAATTTTGGCCACAAGCGGTTGGCGCATCCGTTAAATCGGTGAAATGGATCGGTCAATATTTATGATCGGTCACCGTCTATGATACAGCACGTGGGCTGTTGATCAGTGACCAAACCTGGAACACCACCGAGTTGAAATCCTTACGGATGCGAAGCACCACCGAGTTGAAATCCTTACGGGTGCGAAACACCACCGAGTTGAAATCCTTACGGGTGCGAAACACCACCGAGTTGAAATCCTTACGGGTGCGAAACACCACCGAGTTGAAATCCTTACGGGTGCGAAACACCACCGAGTTGAAATCCTTACGGGTGCGAAACACCACCGAGTTGAAATCCTTACGGGTGCAAAACACCACCGAGTTGAAATCCTTACGGATGCGAAGCACCACCGAGTTGAAATCCTTACGGGTGCAAAACACTCTCCCAAAAAATGATACTTAAACGGCACATTGCCAGTGCCTAAGACCGTAACACAAATCGACCGGTCCGCATTTACTCGCCGTACCTTGGTAGAAGACCCGTAGCACAATAACAATTTATTCTTGAACGTAAACAATCTCATCGATCTTCAGCACCATATTGACAAGCTGCGTAGCCATCAACATCTGCTTTTTCTTCGATATCAGCGAGTCAAACACTTTGTTCTTCTTCATGTCACTGCCACTTCCCATGCAATCAACGCCTAGAAATGAAAATTTGGTTCGCACCTGCTCGGCCTTGAGGCTATCCAAGGTTTTTAACGAGTCAAGGCCGGAGTTGCGTGCAAGTATGAGCGGGATCTCCTCAAGAGCGGATGCAAAAGCCTCCAGGCACTCTCTTTCCTCGCCATCATCAACCTTGTTGAGTTGATCAAGCAGCTTCAGTGAGCACGCTATTTCAGAGCTACCACCACCATACACCAAAAATGGGCAGGTCAGGATATTTCTGGCTGCACTCAAGGCATCCGTAACGCACCGTTCCGCCTCTGCAAGGGCTAAATCGCTCGATGCCCGCACAAGAATCGTCACAGTTTTACCGTCATTGTTTTCAAGCTTGATCATTTTTTCGCCCTGTGTTCCCAGCGTAACTTCTTTTAAGCTTCCCTTGCCCAGATCCTCCTCTCGCAGGTCTTCAAACCGCGAGATTATCGACCCTCCGGTGTAGACAGCAGCAAGCTCAAGGTCTTGGCCGCCCACCCATCGTATAGCAGGCAGTCCGTGCTCCATGAGAAGCGAATTTGCCTCGTCATCAAATCCCCACTGGCACAGGATGACATTTGCGCCGGCGTTCTTGATGCACCTTATCATTTCAACGAATTTCTCTTTCTCGTAGTTCTCCAGGCTCCTGTAATCCTCAACGGATGATATTCTGAGCTCGTTTTTCGTCTTCAGCTTCGGTGGCTCAAAAGGACAGGTCAGAAGCGCAATGCGTCCGTCTTCAACAACTTTCTTCATCTGAGAGTGCGAGAAGCTCTTGTCAAGAAGCACGCCGTTCACCAATTCAATACCTTTGAAGTCTGTGCCGATTTTCTTCACGATCTTGATCAGCTCGAAGTCCACATCCCTCCTGTCCCTGTCACACACCCTCAAAATGGCATTCACACAAACCTCTGCGACGGCATCTTTTGCTTTCCGGACAATCTTCGAATTCAAGGAGGTGAGCGCAGCATTTTTCATGTTTTCCTTCAGCCAGTTAGGTTTTATTTCTTCTTTGATGCTCTCCAGGTGCTCAACCACCATCTTGCAGGCGACGTCGTAGCCCTCGCTCACCTTGATGGGATGTATGCCCTTCTCAATCAGCTTCTCCGCTTTTGTGAGCAGTGCCGAGGCGATGAGAACCACGCTCGTTGTTCCGTCGCCAATCTCCTCATCCTGCGCGCTACTAAGCCGCTGCAGCAGCTTACTAATCGGGTTTTCTGTCATGATCATCTCCTTGAGTATAGTGGCGCCATCGTTTGTGATTGTGATGTCATCATCAGGGCTCTGTAAGATCTTGTCCAGCCCGTTGGGCCCGAGCGAGGTTTCCAGCAGCGAGGATATACCCTTAATTGTGGTGATCGAGTCCTTCAGCGAAGTGCTTTTCGCTTTTAGTTTGGAAGAGATGGTGATTGCACGGCCGAGCTCATCGTAGATTATGCTTGCGTTCATAGGGGTGCCGTAAATCGAACGGTTATAAATTTTTTTGGGGTGCACGTGCAATGCCAGGGTGTCTCTGACAAACGAACAAAGAGCGTAATTTTTTTGCTTCTCCATCGAAAGCATGTTCGTTTATTTTCGATCCTCGCCACGCAATAAAGGACAGTTGGTCCACTCGATTAATCCTTCATGTGCCACGCTTCGGAAGTGATGCGATTAGTGCTGTATAAAAAGGATTAGCTGTTTATGACAGCAACCCGATGAGATATGCCGCTCATTGCTGCCATCACTACTGCTATAGATGCGAATATCCGTTTTCATGGTAGCACATCATTGTCAAGCTGGTTATGAATGAACACACTGTTGAGGTATAGAAGTCCTTCTGGATTAACAAGGTGTTTAGCTCTCTTGAGAAGTGACCAAGCACGTAAGAGTACCATTGGTTATTGTTACGGTGTTTGCTGATCGTTTCATCCCCTTGATATCTATACTAGCACTTTTTTCTGTTTCTTGAACACATCCCTTGTCGATAAAACAGCGCTTACTCCTAACACATAGATCAGATAAAATTGTTTTCTATTTTTGGATCAGAACGTTGTTCAAAAGATGCGTACCAAATATTTTACTATTGAACTGCATAAGATAATCAATAAACACCGCATATTGTCTTTTGACAGATTGAGGATGGTATAGATAGTGTGCAGTGTTCCTGTGTATATCGGAACGATAGGATGTTTGAACAGGCATGTGATCTATATTGACTGAAAATCGCTTTCCTTAGCACATGAGAATGGCTCTGTTTAGGCATTGGCTTTCTGGTACTTGTATGCATGTTAGCTATAGCATTGCATCAAAAACAGTAATAACGTGCATAGAACACGCAAGAAGTAAAAACAGTAGATCTTGTATAATCGTGTCTTGTTGGTGAAGATGATTGTTTATTACGAACTTGTAATTTTTGTGAGACTTGCACGTAGTGCTTTATACGGTATTACTGGTTCACCAAATCAATATGTATTTATTATTGTTGTAGAGAATGAGATGCATGTTAAATTCTGGTAAACTATTTATACACGCTATGTATCATTGCTAGCCACATTTGCGCTACTATCTGGTTGATTACCACTACTTGCACCGGGATCAGCTGTTTCATCTTTCGCTGCATCGCTATTTCCTGAGGCGGGGTCGGAGATTGCATTTTGTGATGTGCCGCTGAATGTAGAGGAAATATGGAATGGGTTAACGATGGAACCAAATGTTGAACCATTTCCACTACCAGAATTGGATGTAGAGGAAATGTGGAATGGGTTAACGATAGAACCAAATGTTGAACTATTTCCACCATCAGAATTGGATGAGATATCGCCATCTGCATCCGGCTCGTTAGATGATCTAAAAAAGCAACAACACAGTATTACTACGGCCAAGACAGCGGCACCAACAACACATCCAATAATGATAGTACGCTTCTTGTTGTGCATGCTGTTGTATGTGTACGATATTTTATACCTGATGTGAAAAGGGGGCGTAGGGTTGACATTACTGTCCAAAAGTTATGCTACAAAGACACAAATATTTTGGATTGTTTAGACCAATCGTTGTATCAGCGTTGTTGTTTTTGATATTTTTTTGTTGCGGTGCATGATGATGCTGAGACAGTAAGGGATTGGACAGCAGATGCCAGAAAGTTAATCATGGGCTGGTAAGTATCGCAGTGACAGTACTATTAAGTAGAGCGGGCTAGACATGCACATGTTCTTCTGCTAGGTATTCGCTTGTAAAGAGACTTAAAGGCAACTTTTGGGACTTTGAAACGGCATGGAAGAATGAGGTTGGAAGTACTGTCGATTCTTTGCTATGGCGTATTTGTGAACTAAGAAAGTTTATATTTGAAATATTCTGATGGTGTTTGGTATAGACCATCCTTTCACTTGGTATAAAGGATTGTTTTGCAGAAAAATTCGTTGTTACAACCTATGTTACCAACCAATCAGTCGAGTAAAGAGGTGGATAAGAGAGGTAGGAACATATGTACTATTCTATAAGCATTTGAGTAGTTGATCAGGATTAATCCACAATTATTATACCAGTTTGTTGTCTATGACAGGGTATTATTGCGATAAGGAGAAAGCCTCTGCTCACTACCTTAGATGATAGAGTTTGTAACAATTAAGTGATATGCATACACCGCCTACAATATTGTCAGTAAATGCGAATCGAGAATTGCTTATTGCAAAAGTGTACCTATAAACATTATAGACAGCGAAACAAAGTGGTGTTGGCCGTATTCTAATTCATATTAACGTGTAAAGCAGGTGCCTATGCGAGAGAAAGTAGCCCTGACGAGAAATAAGGTGCTTGATAAGAAAAGACAGGCATGTTCGTTTCTGTTAAAAAGCAGTTTGTTTGCACAACAACTATATGTAGAGTGATAGGTAGTTTGGACCAATTGTGAAGTAGTGATACACCGATAGCAGCCAAATATTATGAGAGAAGACTAGAAAGTTCAATTTATATTGCTAATGGGCCAGTCATTCACTAATTATCAACAACAAATATAATCTGGTGTGTAGAATGAAGACTAGAAAGCACATAGTTAAACAAATTCGAAAGCAAGTGGTATTGATGAGCTTTGTGAACATAAAAACGATTATAAATAAGGCACAATGTACTAATATTTGCTACATCTGTACAATAAGAGAGTTGCAGTTCGATATGTCAATGGTTTAAAAGCACCGAGTCCGCTTTATCATCTTTTCGCGATGTTTTGGTTGGTATCAGAGCAATTTTGTAAATACGATGTAATTTGCATACGCTTTGGCATTCTCAGATTGTTTAATGGGTATGAGATTTATACTGTAAAAATTGCGTTGTTCTGCTATTTTGTATTCGACATGTTGCTATATAATTTTCCGTATGTGAGGGTATTCGCATTTTTGTGTCTGTTAATGAGACATTGTTTTGTTATGGTAAGTAGATTGGATACTTATCCATTCATCATTTCGTGCACTAGTGCAATAATATGTGCCCACTAAGAACTTTTTAATATTTTTGTAGAAAGTTCTTTGAGATAGGTTAAATTAGATGGGTGCAGAATGACCAAAAGTATCAGTAGAAATGGTTATGTTTGATGGACTCATTTTCGTAGTTTTGCGGGAGTGTAGTTGCCAAAGTACCTAACAATGTGGTATTGTTGTGTATGTGGTATTCATTTTTATATCATCTTTCCCGTCAAAATGCGATATTATCACACTTGTTTGTTTTTAAGCTCCATTCTTTTCCTTACGCTTTGAGGATGAAAACATAGTGATCGATTTTATTTATAGATTTGTACCTAGTGAATGAGATGAATAAGCAGTGACCGTGTATTACTATTCAGAATCGACTGCTTGTTGATCGGTAACATATTGCAAGAAAGTTTCATCAAATAAGGGGGATAGAACACCTGCTTATTTGTTATCACAACAAAAAACTGTGATGCACTGAATGAATGCTTGACACTCTTATCAATGATTTTTTAGTCCTGTTAGAAAAATTTATAAAGGCAAAC